CATTTATTCAGCATAGTGTTGCCAACACAATGAGAAAAGGGAGAAGGTGTATTAAATGTACAATAACTACTCCAAAGACCACTCAGTAACTGGTCAAGACAACAGGCAGATGACAAGGACCACAAGATAGACCAGTGAGGAGCTGATCAGCATCAGGACCAGTGTCTTTAGCGCCCCTAGTGGTGGTGACCACTGGACCGTGCCAGGGAGCAGCAGGTCAGGACTGTGCGGCAGGTCACAAACACTTGCAAAATCGATAGTACTACTCATACAACTATGATTAATCATAATAATTTTATCATTGTTATTATGATTTCTATTAATAATAGTGATCAATAACATTGGATAGACAAACGATTAAGGCTTCTTACATTTAGGCTATTCTGATAACACAGAAAAGGGAAAAGTTGTATTAAAAATAAATACAAACAAACAAACAAACAAACAAACAAACACTCCACAGATCACTCAACTGGTCCAAACAACAGAACAGATCACAGAGGAGGTGGACAGGACCAGTCGTTGTAGTGCCCTTTGTGCCAGTAAGAAGCTGGTCATGACCGCTGTGCCACTGGTCGAGACCAGTGATGAGTGTCTTTAACGCCCCTAGTGGTGGTGACCACTGGTCCATGCCAGGGAGCAGCTGGTCCTGACCACATGGATCTGCATAATCAATAGGAATAACAATGATAATCATCATAATTCTGATGTAGTGTATTTTATAGACAAAAGGTTATGATCTCTGACATTTATCCAGCTAACAGTGCTGCCAAAACGACCGGAAAGGGGAGAAAATACTAAAGCCGCTTCACAGACCACAGGGACCACAGGACAGATCACTGAGGAGCTGGTCAGGACCAGTGTCTTTAGCGCCCCTAGTGGTTGTGACCACTGGTCCGTGCCAGAGACCATGGTCCCTGGACAGACCACGGAATCGACTACAACCCCCTCTCCCCAGTTGACTTAATGATCCCATCCAAGTAGTTGCAGTCTTAAAATGTTTAGGCTGCCAGGCAGCAATAAAAGAAAACAAAGGCAATTTACATTTTGTTACATTTACAGAGTTGCAGTGGTTAGTGACACACTTAAACAAGGCTGGGAAGAATTATAAATTAAAATTATTTCAATATTAAATACGTTGTTTTAACAATAACAGACATGTATCACGAAAATTATACTGAAAAATGCCATTTTCTGTAGTGGAGAGCTATTTGGTATTTTAAAGTGGACATGAAACGTGCATGTTTTGGTGCAAGTAGTGCCAAAACATATTTAAAAAACATTGCCTAAAGTCTAAAACTACAGATATGACAAATGGGGGGGGTACAAGAAAAATATTTGCCGCGGGGCCAAAAATAAATATGTTACACTGCTGATGCTCACACTTGGTCATATAGTCTCACCAGACACCCAGTGATGCACATCGGTAGTGTGAAGGAATTTTGTCACACTTCCCTCACATGTTGTGACACAAAACCAGAGGTGGTTTGTGTTCATTCTGATCCACTCAAACAACTCCTTGTTGTGGCACTGCAGCAGATTTCACAATGTGGGGGTGCCCGGAGAGCTCGCCTGGTACAGCATGGGCCCCTTCTTGAAAGACTGGGTCCTTGCTCCAGCTTCCCAGAGTTCACATCCAACCTGAGGCCCTTTGCTGCCTGTCATCCTCTCTCTCCCCTCCTTCCTATCACTCTTCAGCTGTCACTATCAATAAAAGGCAATAGTTAGCACAACACTTGCTAACTAAGGATTGATGTAGATGAGCTAGCTAGTCTCTTATATATGTTGTCACTGGCTAGTGTACTAGTTAGCTAGCAGTTTGCTAACATTAGCTAACTTGAGATGTGACTACATGTATGTCACTTTTATCTTTGAACCATATTCAAAATGTGGTTGTTTTTTTAACACGTAGCACAAAGCATATCTACAGATATCAGTACAGAAAGGAGAAAGTTGAGTCCGGTTCTGACCACCTAGGCTTGCTCAACTGTTATTGGAGCACAGAGCAAAAAGGGGCGGGACACAGGAAGGGTTAGTTGTAATGGTTGTAAAGGTTAGGGTAAGGGGCTAGGAAAATGCACTATGAATATAGTAAGGATGTGTGCAGGGGCGTAGTGATGAATACAGAGGTGGGTAGTTTACCACATTGATCGATAGTTATCTGAAAACAGATCAACTCTCAGCCACGTTTCAAAGAGGTACATAAACTGAGTTTACTTGGGTTTGCCCCTCCCACTACAACCCTGCATGGTTTTTTTTGCCCCCTTAGAATGAAAACATTTTCCGTTCAAAGTTTCTCTATTTTGCCGCAGGATAAATCATTTTGTGGCAAGCAAACTCTGCTTGGGATTTCAATTCCAGAAGTTTCAAAACCAAAAGTTGAATAGCTACATTGTGACTTAAGACTGTGGGCCATCTGTGACATTTGAAGTTCTTTTGGAACACCCACATCCTTGAGCATTTCTCTCCACATCCTCTGTTCTGATGAAACTCTTCTCTTCTTATCTTTCCTGCTTGTCTTGCATTATATTGGGCATGTTTTTTTTAAACTAGAAATGTGTTCAGTTGCTACTTTAGGTCAACATTTCTTTTCTCATGTCATCTCACTTTATCTCAAGGGACTTACTGGTTATTCCCTTCCACCTCTATTAATTGTCAACAGACTCACCTCAACCGTTTTCCCACAAGTTTGTGGCATTTGTTTATGCTACATACTTGTGCCAATACAAATAAACAATACATAAATACATCTATTTTTGGCCTGCCCAGAAACGTCAAGTCATTGCTAGACAGAGATGGCATTGTTTAACAAGATCTACAGAAAAAAGCAGCCAACCAAAGGGCAAAACAACCCATTACAAAGTAAAATAAATAAACTGCTCCTTGGAAATGATTATTCTTTGTTTTTTTAGTTTTATTTTCTTGTACACATTTTAGATATCAGTTAATTTTCTTGTGCAGTAGGCCATGCCCCTGAATCACTTTACAATTATGAATACAAATAACTAAAAACTAATTAATATCAGCAGCAGATTCAGTGATAAAGTTGTCTAAATGTATAAATGCAAGAGAAGGAAGGGAATTACAGAATTAATTCAAATGTATATAGCCCCCTTTAAACCAACATTGAGTCCCATTGATGTTTGAATGCATCAACAGTGGCATTTAAACGCAAGTGCAAGATTTGAATAAACTAAATGATAAATCATTCCACACAATATTGTTTAGTTGAATATTGTGTCTACTGTTGCATAAAAAACAAATATATAAAACATAAATGTTTATCATAAACCCCTTTTTGTTCATTTGCGTGCAGTTTGATTGTTCTGTGTTCGACAGTGCCAGTGCGACACATATCGATTTCTCGCGTGTGATTGGTGATGCCTCACTCTTGTTTTCATGGGAGGAAGGCGGAAATGGGAAGTTCGATTCCTTTATAAGAATCTCTGAAATAGATCGTAAGACAGCACAGTGTGTATAACTTTATATAAGTATCCTCTTGAAATTATTCAGTTAACTTTCAGGGCAGGTCTGGCTCTTTGGGAGAATATAAGTAGTTATTTTAAATGGGCACAAAGGTGAACACGCTGAAAAGAGTTTGAGCTAACGTTACTGTCCTGTCTCCACTTTATGGTAAAGTCGTCAGGTACAGCATTTATTAAGCTTACGATAACACATTTAGTATACAGCTGGAATAGTCATGGCAGCAGTGGAAAACCAAAGGGAGCGAACTGTTGCTTTACTTCAGTAACATTAGGAAGAGTTCAAAACGGACGAATCGTTTACGAGTCGCGCATTAAACAGCGGCCACCGTCAACGCTGCTGGAGTCCGACACTGAGCGGTGAGATACAACTAACGTTACTTTATACAGGCAAACAGCTATATTAGGAATATACCGAAAATGAGAACAGATAGTTTATAGGCATTTGAGTCTACCGCAACGTTATCGTTGGCTGGCTGGGTGGTTAGCTGCTAGCTAGCGACAATAAGGTGACATCACAGACCGAGCCGACTGCGGCCTGGTTCCGCTGCTAGCCCACTGATTGACAGCCCGTCAACTAGCTAGCACGGTGGTTAATATGGCTGCGGAAGGGCCGTCGTTTTATGTCTGCGGCGGTTTGTTATGAGCTGATACTGCCAGCTAGTTAACTGTTGGTCTGTTCTGGTAATGACTGCACAGAGCCCGAGTAGTCGTGAATCAACATCAGCATCCACAGTGTGGCCTGCTGCTGCTGCTGCTGCCGCCGCGGCGGGTACCAGCCCCATAAGCTTCATATTAGCTGGATATTCTGCTTACAAACACACAGTCCATGGTTGAGTTATTAAGCCTTTGGTTACGTAAATAGGCATATTACATCTTTAAGCTCAATTATTTTTTAACATGCACAACCTTCAGTCTGTTGCATGAGAGTTGTCAACAAGTGGTGAAATGTGTGACAAACAGCATTATAATGAAGTACAGTATTTCTGTAGAGACCCCAAAAAACTTCACATGACGATTTGTAGAGTTTTTTTCAGTAAAACAAAAATTTTGGATGCAAACATGATCATTCCCACACTTTGTGGCAGTGTGATGTATTTTCCATATCGTGCAGCCCATTTGTAAAATGTGTCCACTGACAATGAAAACTTTTAATACATCAAAGGATTCTGTTTGGAGACAATGCATCCAAGTTGTGTCTTAGTCGTTATTCACTATGTAGTAGGGCTGCAACAAGAGCTGCAGCAGTTAATCGATTAGTTGTCAACTATTAAATTAACTGCTGCAATTGGTTAATCATTTTTTAAAAAATGTCCATATTTTGTGATTTCAGCTTCTCAAAACAAGACATTTGAGGACGTCAGCCTGGGCTTTGGGAAACAGTGATTGACATTTTTTCCTGACATTTTATGGACCAAACAACTGATCCAACAATTGAAAAAATGATTGACAGATTAATCGATGGGATAATGAATGAAGAGGATCCAAATTAGGTCTTAGTTGCTGTTCTGTTTGGAGTAGAGCTGTAACAAGTAGTCAATCAATGGATCAGTTGTCAAATATTAAGTTAATCGCCAACTGTTCTGATAATCAAATTGTATTGTCATTTTTTAAAGAAAAAGAGTCAAAATTCAATTTATAAAATCTTTAGAAAATTGTGAAAAAGTCTAAATGGCAACCTTCTGAAGAGTTTCCTTCCTCTGTATAACATTTGTTGTCTTTTAGCATATGTTCTATGCTATGTTCTATCTATCTGTATATATAACAATTTTCTGAAGCACAAGGTGATAATCAGTGAATTACTTGTTTTGTCCAACACCTTCAATAGAACAAAGCCATGTTATTAGTGACACCTGTGCTTTTCCTACTGTGATAAGTTGGGGTGTGTGCTGTGAAAAATGCCCAGTTAGAAGCTGGGACTTTGGAATGTGTGGTATTTTTGTTTCTATCAATCGAAACAGTTGCACATTATGTATTTGTCTTCTTCTCTCTCTGCTTATCAACTGAAGCAAAGACTAGCTCTGATATTGGCTGACCAGAGGGTCACCTGTGGCTCATTAGAGAGTGGTGTTTGGTCTCGCAGTGAGCTGTGAGTTCTTCTCTGGGGCTGTCTTTCTCTCTCTCTCTCTTTCTATGTTTATCTACCCTTCCGGCCACCCAGACTAAAAATTTGGCCCACATCAGCTTCCAACCAAACAAGTTTTTAGACTACACAGTTTGCACCCTTGACAGGTTGTTTTGCCCTCTCCTTAAGAGATGATCACAAACAGCCCCCCAGAATCCTTGGACTGCTTCTGCTTATCGCTGTTACATTTTTGTGCAAACTTAAAAATGAGTTATATGAATCAGCTCTGGAAGAAGCCTAAACTTAGTTAGACTTAACTGCAGTTTGTGTGACTAATGCCAAATAACATGTGGCATTATGTAACCACAAGTTGCATAAGGTCATGATGTAGGCCTACTAAGTTGATTCTCATATACTGTACCACTGAATTAAACATGAACATCCCAGGCTTCAGACATTATGTAGTTAATCTCTGTTAGTCACACTCCATAATAGATGTCATTGTGCCAGCTCCCCCTTGTGAGTGAATTGAGATGCTGTGCATAGTTGAGGTCAGGTTGCAGTTTGCTGGCTCTGTTGTTTTTGCACAGCCCACCAAAGCACCCACGAAAAGCTAGGAGGTCCTGGATCACCAGAGGAAGCCAGTGGCATGTACTTCTACCCTTCTGGTTCTCAGGATGTAGGATGGGCTGATCAATAGGACCGCCTGCCTCGGGTCTAGACTCAACTAGCCGCTTTGGACTGTACCTCAAAGGAGAGGCTTGGATTTCTTGGGAAACTTTTCCTTCTTGTACACTGTAAATATTTTGCCTCCTTTACCCGCTCTCTCATGCTGCTTACCAAGTGTGTTTCCCCTGCTCAGAGCACACACCCCTGTTCTCTTGCCGTGCCGTTTGATCTTTGACGCAGGCCTGGCTGTTTAAAGAATATCAAAGAAGCATGGCCTACTATAGCTTATCCTCACCAGCAGGACAAGTCTGGGCTTACTTTGAAGAGCTTGATTCATGGTATTTTCACACGGGTTTGAAGAAAAACGTGGGTCTAGCAGATTGGCTGTAGAATCTCAACGATTCAGAGCACTGCATTGCCTCCTGTAGTGAAATGTTTTGCTTTACAGGCTTGAGTTCATCCAATAGTTGGCTCAGTAAATGACTGAATGCCACAGGTGCAGTGACTCGGCTCTTTGTTAAATGTACACCGTTGACTTTGACACATCACGCTTCCTAGTTTGGCATATAGGTGTGCAGCAGTAGATAGAGACAGTGTGATATCTCTTTGTTTACTAATAGCACTGATACTGGCATTGCTTTGTCATGTGATTGCTGCTGTGGTTGAGGGTGAGACAGCTGAGTACCACTTAACAGAGGCTCAGTAGCGGGCCGATATAACTCTAACCTTATTTCAGCCATTCTCTAAACTTCCCTGCCATGTCACTCACTCTGTTATCTTCTATTTCTTTTTCTCTCCCCTGGCATCTTTCTCTTTTTACAGGTGAGCGGCCCATCAGCCAGCCAAGTGCAGCGCTCTGTAATTATGGATGCCTGTGCCCGTATTAGAGGAGTTCCAATAAGGTCCAGGGCCTCAGTCCGGAAAGAGGTCTGTCTGCCGGCCGGGACACTGCATTTTATTCTGCAGCTGTCTGTCTGTGAAAGGAGATTTCAAGCACCACCCTGCAGTGATTCTTTATGCCTACCACTGAATCTGATATTGGATATTTGATGGATATTTGCACCTAATATTTAAAAAGCACATCTGCAGGGCTAGTTGAAGTTAGATTTAGCTTGCTCCTCACAAATCCTTTGGGCTGGGTATCGTTAGGATTTTATTGATACCGATATCGATTAGAGCCAGACCTGTATCGGAAAAATTCACAGACATGACAACCAATGTAGAGAATTTTTGAGCTGGAATGAAAATATTCAAATTTTGCACTGATATGACTCTGCAAAGGTACTCATGAAGGCTGCTTGCTTAAACAAATAACTTGATAAGTTAAATAAGTTAAATGTAACATGTTAAAACATTTAATGTATAGACTACAGTCTCAACAAATTCTAGAAACGAGCTCTGACAAAATAAAGAATAAATAAAAATAAAATAAATAGCTAAACATCAGTAGTGTTAAAACTACAAGCCTTTCTGTATTATATACTAGGTGAAAAAAACTGTTCTAAAATCGGATGACACATACACTGATACATCTGTGATAGGTCAATATCAGACGATTGACATATCGGTCGGGGGTCTAAAGTCGATACCAATGCTACTTGCTATAATTTCGTGCAAAAAATAAAGATGTGACATGAAAATAGTAAAAAGATTGTTTCATTCAAACAGTTGTTTCATTATTCCTTTTTTAGCAGAATTAAGTTGTTTCCTCAGTAATTGCATTAAGCTACATTTCCATTAAGTCTAGTGAAGTAAGCCCTATCAGCTGAAATGTTACAGAAATACCAATAACAGTTTACTTCCTTCACAAGCTTATTGATATTTTGGTACTGACCAGCCAGGAAGTAGTAGCTTTAGTATCAGTTCTCGATACCCATCCCTAAAAAACACTGACTGCTGTAATTTCACTTGTGATGTTAATGTAATGTTAAAGCGCAACAGGTCTTATCTTAGTTGTTTGTTCAGTTTGTAATTAGTATGATAATACAGTATTGCAGTACTATACTATCGCTTGTTTGTTTTGTGTGCTTGTGCTCAGTGGTTTCTAGATTGTTTACTGCACTTTCTAATGTGGTGAGATGTGTTTTCTTCACTAGAAATGGTTTGGCCAGTATGATCGTACAAGTGTTTTAAAATGTCAGTTTGAATATAGTCTGATTACCCAGGAGGATCTGTATTAAAGTCGTCTAAAAGCAGGCAGATATATTAAAGAGTATGCACAAATATTAATACAATATTTTATGCATGCTACAGTGGTGGACAAATGCATACACATTTGGTCTAAAAAGCACTGTGTGTTTTTGCAGACCGTGCGTGACAGTGGGGCGCAGTGTGTGAAGAGCCTCTTCAGGAATAAAAAGGAGCTATGCAGCATTGGCCTGGAGCTGCCAACCAGAGACTCCACAAGACTGACAGAGGTTTGTCACATTAACCGCAGTGCGAACATATGCAGAGGTCAGCCATATTCAAACATAACGCACATTGATGCTGACCATCTACTGTGCTTTTCCAGATTCATTTTGTGTGTCTGCCTGGTCAATGTGAAGGAGAAGATGTCACCCAACAGGTAAGTTTTCATCATTACAAATTAGGGATCGACCGATGTGATTTTTTTCTTCAGGGCCGATACGATTATTAGTAATCAATGAAAACGTTAACTGTTTTTTCGAAGCAGCATACATTTACATGAAATTCAGAACGTGGAATGGTGGAGCGTAACTAAGTACAATATTGCTACTTTTACTTAAGAAAAGGATATGAGTACTTTAAGTATATGTTCAATTAAATGCTGCAAAAACAAACTTTTCAACATTATCTTTAATGTTTGATATTAAATTATTACTCTACTTTTACTTGAGAAGGTGTCAGTGTCAATCATATTCTCTTGTGGGCGGGACATTGCTCATAATTTCAAGGCACCAGTGTGGGGCATATGCAGTGGAACAGACAAAGGGCTATTTACTGATGTATATTGAGTAACGTTATAGAACACTTTTTTAGTCCAATACCACACTCTCCCACATCTATAGGCATTATTAACACACACATATTGAAATTCACATGCTCAGATTAACCCCTCTAATCTGGGCCAATTCACACACAGCAGACCAAGCCTATTTACACATACAACGTACAGATGAAACAATGGCAAACAGTTTTGTGAAAAAACACAGATGGAATTCTGGCTTTTATCAAAGTCCAACAGTTACCTGAGCTGTGGCCCCCCAGGGGGTTAGACGTTAGTAGCAAAAATTTTCCTATGATTTCTTGATAGGTCCTGTAATTTACCATTTGACCTACAAGCTAATGCATTGTCATTGCCTTCTTTCCCAGGCTCTGTCATCTCTGTCAGGAGGGCTGTGTGAGCTTCTCAGGTCCCTCCACGTTCACAGCCTCAAGAATGATGAGGTTCTGCTGCTCAAAGACTCCCGCAGGCTGGCAGAGCACAAGGACGGCGGGCCTCAGGTAGGTGACAAGCCTTTCCTATTAAAGGAATGTGCCCAGTCAGCATGCTGAGTAAAGCTAGTGCGCAGGGAAGTAAGGGGAAAAAATAAGGGGAAGTAAGAATGAGGTAGGGTATTGTAGATCTCTCCTAACAGTTATTTTCTTACAAATCTTTCCATAGAATTCCGTCAACAAGCATTAATGCCAGTTTATTTCGGAAATAAACTGAATCAACTTTATTTACATTAGAAACATGCACACGTTAGTATGTCACTGCACTTTTAGCAGATGTTTATTATATTTTAGGACGATTCGACTTTTAACACTCATTAGCAAAATACATCCCTTTTCAGGTGTGTGATTTTTGCTTCCTAAAATTCTTGCATGTGTTGTATAAATTGTTTAACCACATTTGTGGCCTCGTCCGTAACAGATAGATAAAAAATGTGGGTGGACAGACGGACAAAGATGTATTTTTTTTTCAGCCGACAATTGCAGCCTTGCCGCCAGCCCTGCGGCTCGCTCTGTGGTTTTGTTGTCCGTTTCAGACAGTGAGACCTCCCACCGATCTGCATTACAAAGTGGACTCGAACTAAGTGATTTTTTATTCTGCACATGCAACAGATAAACTCAGCAATCAGAGTACAGACATAACAGTACACTTCCGACCCCTATCCCCCCCTCCCTCTCCTGTTAGATCAGGATAAGAAAATGTCCATGTGAATTCTGTTTATTTTGCAAAAGTCAAGATCTTTTCAGCTTTTCTCATTCCAAGTGATTGTGGGACATGATTCCTTTAACAGTTTATAGACTCTGTCTGCCTGTTGGTTACATATGCTGTAATCTTTCTCTGAATGAGCTGAATAAATCACCAGGCAGCCAGGCTTAACTGTCAATATCTTCTTTCCCTTCTTTTCTTTTCATTGCTCTTTGTCTCTCTATCTCTCTCTCTCTGCTGTCTTCCTCTGCTTTCAGTGTTGGGTAAAGGCCGTGTGCGTGCTGAGGCATAACCCCAGCACCAGCGTATACCCTCAGGCCAGTGTAGGATCTTTGGTGGGTTTGCTGGGGTGCTACTTGGCAGGTGTCCGCTATGCTTTGGAGCTTCAGGCTCTTCAGAGGGGCACAGCTGAGCCCAGCCAGCCGGAGGAAGATGACACCAACCAGTCGGTCTCATCAATCGAGGACGACTTTGTCACGGCCCTGGAGCATCTGGAGGAGGACGACACAGGAGACGGTCCCTGTAGGTTTAACCTCTAATGCTTAGTGGCATTTGGTAGCCGCTGGTATCTTGTGATCCCATCTGAATATAGATAATTTTGTGGCAGGAATTGAAATTGGGTCAGGTCACTGCTAGATGGCACTAATACGTTATTTTCTAGTTGGGATACACTTTTTCCTATACTATTGTAAATAATCAAGGCACAATGGATGAACAGCATTTGTTTTCGCTTTCTTTTTATTCATCTTTATATTTATATTTTAATGTATATAACCTGTTTTCTCCCCTCTCCTTCATATCCATCTCCACAGCAGCGTCTTCCTATCACCCTTTTAAAAAGCGCGATGTGGCATCACAGACAGTCCCGGCCCACAAGAGAAGAAAGGAATTATCAGGCTCCCGCGTTATCATGAGTTCATCTTCAAAGTATTCAGCCAAACATAAGTCAGGTCCAGGTGTGTCTGTCACAGTGCAGAGGTCCTCAGGCGTGGAATCTCAATGGACCTACTGCAGTCCTGGAGCTTGTCTCCCCTCGCCACTGATTCATGTCAGTGATTCAGAGGATTCAGACTGCTCCAGCCCCAGCCCAATCATTTTCCTGGATGAGGTTGGCTACCAGAAGAGCCTACTGGCCAAGCTGGACATCCCTCAGGTGCCAGGGGGGCCCAGAGAGCGAGTTGAAGACTCAGACTCCGAAGTCAGTGAATTCTTTGACAGTTTTGACCAGTTTGATGACCTGGATGAGCTGAGCTCAGAGAGCTGCACTCTCGCACTGCCTCTGGATGCCATCAGTGCCCCAGCCACACAGAAAAGGTCCACTGAGTCTAGCACCAGCGGGTCAGCATCCAAATATGTTTCTAGGGGCTGCTCAACCAAGGGTATGAACCCTCACCGCTTTGACCATCCCACTCTCCCAGCCAATGTGAAAAAACCCACTCCTCTGAAACCAGGCTCTCCCTACTCACTTCATTCTGAGGTGCCTGACTCCCCTCGACCTGTGCAGACGCCCTCTGAGGAGAATGGTGGCCCACTCTTTAGTCCTGTCAGCTCCTCAGCCTTCAGCCCGCTGGTAGACCCTGGTGGGACACTGGAATACTTCTGGAAGACAGATGGAGATGGACGGGACAGTACAGAGCTACGTAAACCCCAGGATCTCTGCTCTCTGTATAAGACCTATTCAGACTTTGCCAGCAGTCTGTCCAAAGAAATTCTGGGATCTGTGTGTGGCTATCAGTCTGCCATTGACATCAGTGACAACAAGAATCTCAGCTGTGTCTGCCACAAGGAATTCAAGAACCCTTCGGGCTACCTGATGAAGCTGTCAGAAATACAGGAGACTGTAACAGTGGCCAAGCTGCAGAAGAAGTCTCAGTCTCTGAAGGATGGCATCCAGAGGTTTGCCACTGACCTGGTGGAAATGAGCTTGGGGAGTGCCTTGCGAGACCTCCAAAAAGGTGTGTCCTCCTGTACCACCACCTTGTGTCACCTAGCTGCCAGGCTAACCTCCTCAGTGTTCCAGATGGCCTTCCATGAGATTGGCATGCGCCATGCGTATGTGTTGAAGGAACGAGCAATCAATGGATTAGCTGGCTTCCTGGTTGGAGAGGCCGTGTCTGGGGCGCTGAAGGAGTTCCTGACAGTGAAAAAACAGATTTTCCACAGCACAGTGACACGTTTTGCTGCTGATTTGGCTGAAGAGCTGGTGTTTGAAGGCATCATGGAAGTTTGTCAGTTCTCACACCCCTCGACCCCTCTCACCCCTAGTGATTGGTCCTTTGGCCACAGGCAAGAGGAAGAGGAAGAGGAGGAGGTGGTTTCCTCCTATGCTTCAGACTTATCAGAGTCTGTTATACAGGAGGCCTTCATAGAGCTCTCTCAGGCTGATGTTGCTTTCACTAGCCAAGCAGCTATTAGTGTGTCTCTGGACAACATCTGTTATGTCAGTGCAGAGGACACAAGCACTCATACCTGTAGTACCTTTGCTAACCAGCAGGTTTTAAGTGCCAGCTCAGCTGGAGCAGTCCCAGGGCCCTCAGGAGAGGACGCTAGCTGCACAGTGAAGAAGGCCCTGTTCACTGTATCAGGCATGGCCAGTTGTATCCCTGTGCCCCAAGCAGGCCAAGCCCTCTCCCACCTCCAGGACCCTGAGGAGACCTGTCAGTGTAAGTCTAGCTTGTCAAATACCCCACAGGCCAGCCCCAAAAGAGTAAGTGAATCTTCTTCTGACACCATTACATCTGCACAAACTCACCTTTACGGTCATGAAACTCAGACTCCCATACCTGGAGGAGACCCCTCCCAAGGAAAGTCCCCATTCCAAAACTTCTCTGGCAACATGGTGGATATGATAGTAACTGAAGCTTGTGACCTAATAACTGCCTCTAAGATGAAGAAGAGTTTTGGTGACTGTGCTGATTTCTTCACAAAGACAGTCGGAAGCCGAAGGGACTCTTCTTCTAAGCAGGAGACAGTTAATTATGAGGCTCCAGATTCCCCTTCAAAGCAGGGGGCTGGCAGAGAGAGTTTTAGATATGACTGCAGTGATTCTGGGTATATTAGCAAGGGTGGCCCTGAAGAGCAAGCAGCAGACTTTAGCGTTCCTCACATTTCCTTTCAGACAGGATCTCAGAGCCAGGGAAGAGCCAGCTGTGAGTTAGACCCCAGGACCAGAGGTGTGGCTGAAACCCATCTTGTGATGATGGATACTCTTGATGTGCCGGGTAGCGAGATGGGTGGACAAAGGAGGACATCTGTTCCTGGGGATAACTCAGGCCCAAGCTCTGGCCAAAAATCTGGTGGGACTCCTGAAACTCCTCCTTCCACCCCTCAGCAGCCCAGTGAGGTGTCCAAAGAGAAACAGATAAAACAGTTCTCCAAGAAGCTGAAAAGCAAGCTAGCTAAGGAATTTTCCCCCGCTACCCCACCGCCCACCCCTCATTATCAGCCTGAGCCTGGCCCAGGGCCGAAAGACATCACCCCTGAAGCAGACAAGGCTGAATTTATGCTCAAACTGATGCGGTCTCTGTCTGAGGAAGCAGATTGCAATGAGGATGAGGAGGAAGAATTAGCAGAAGAGGGCAGTGTTGGTGGAACTAACAGGTGTTCAGAGACAGGCGGTGGCCGGCATGAACTGAACCAGATGTCCACTCGCAGAATGTCCAACAAGGAAGCCCTCCACTACGCTGAGCGGTTGGCTTGTCACATTGTCTCCATGGCAACAGAGATGGACACACTCGGAGTTGCAGAGGAGGAGGAAGAGATGAGCAAGGGCAGCGAGAGGAGGAGAGACAGTGTGGCTCAGTTCTCAGAGCAGACCCTGAACACCTTGTGGGTTTATGCTGGGGAGGTGGCAGGAGAGGTCATCAATGATGTGAAGAGGATGGTGAGCTCAGCCCAGCAGTGTCCATATCACAGAGCTCACAGAAGAAGAAGCTTTGACAGATCTAGCTCTGAATGTTTGCATCACCACTACCAACACCAGTCTCAACCCAGCGCAGACCAGAACAAAGACTGGAGGGTAGGGAGGCTGGCTGAGCAATGGTCTAATGACCTGATAGCCTCTGTCTTCCGGTCTCCCACCTCCACATCAAGTACCATCTCCAGCTCCACCTCTGGCCTGACCTCCGAGTATCCCAGCTGTGAGAGTGTGACGGATGAATATGCTGGCTACCTCATCAGGGTACTGAAAAAAGAGGGAGGCAGTAGGGAGTTGGTCCTAGACCAGTATGCGAGCCGTTTGGCCTACCGCTCCATAAAACTAGGCTTGGCTCATGCTAGTCGCAAGATCAAGCACAGATCCTCCAGCAGCCACCTTCACTCCTCCAAGTCGCTGCCAGATGAATGGAAAGCTTCTAGTAGTGAGGCCTCGTCACCCAAGGACAGAGTAGAGTCAGGGGAGGATGCTCAGTGTTGTTGCAGGGACTCTGAAGAGCAGAGTCAGAGGGAGTACATGGACCTGTTAAACTTTGCAGAGTCTTTAGCTTACAACATCACTTGTGATGTAACACGCAAGCTGCGTCTTTCCTCTGTACGGCTGCCCAAGTCTCTGACTGACTCCTGTCTTTATAAGAAATCCAAATTTGAAGACATGGCAGAGAATCTCATCAGGAACTCCTTCTCTTGCCCCCTGTTGTCCAAGGAGGGTAAGAGCAAGCATTACCACAGCACAGGAAGCCTGTATGATGGAGGCTACAGGAGTAGGGCTATGCAGGTCATCGAGCATTACGCCAGGAAAATAGTTAATGATACTCTGAAGATGAGCCTGGCTTCAGTTGGACATTCATCCCGGGAGCACCAGAGGACCCAAGGTCATGACAGACACACTCACACCCAGAGGTTGTCTGAGGTGCCGTCACCGGGCCAAGCCCTGGGAGAGAGGACATGCCGTTATTGTCAGGTCCAGGAGTGCCCGTACTGCACCAAACTCAGCAGGCACCACCACCAGCCTGTATTACAGAGGAGGAAAAGAGGGCCTGAATGTCACTCAAGGGCTGAGAGGCTTTCTAGCTTAGAGATTCCCAAGATCCACATTGACCTTGACCACAGGGCAATGTTTGCAGAGGAGATGGTGTCCATGGCAATGGAGACAGCTAAACGTGAGCTGAGCAACACCAGCCTTAATGCCGACAGTGGCATCGGCCATGACGGAACCAGCTACGCTGAGAGCCTCACAGCTGAGATCATGACTTCAGCCCTGTCCAACATCTGTCAGGCTGCCAGCATCAGGTACACACACCAAGATTCATATTAGTAGTTGCTTTTTTGCGTGCTCTGACCCCTTCATGTTACTGACTTCAAAAGCTGCTATTTCACATTTACTTCTTACCTTACCTACTACTACTTACTTAATTTGAACAGTTTACTATATAAACAGAACATGAATCTGAACCTTTCCTTTATCTGTCCTTCCATCTCTGTGTGCATTTAGCTGTCCAGGTAGGGAAGCCACTGAGTCCTCTGTGTCCCAGCAGCTGAGTGTAGGAGATGACAGCCTGGGCAGCTGGTCTAACCTGAGCTTTGAGGATGAGCACCCAGACGACAACAGCAGCTTCCTTCACCTCAGTGACAGGTATACAACCACTAGCTTTCTCACTCGTAACATACCAAATATCCACCTGTAGAGCACACTGCTGCTATTTCCGTCAGCGTCAGTATTTTACTGTAGTACTACAAAACGAATACACGTTGCATATTACTTAAACCATTAATCTGATAAAGCAAAAATCCTTGATTATGTGGCATGTTTTCTTAAAAAATGAGATGGAATATGCGGGATATTTATGCAATTTTATGCGATGAAATTGTGGGAACTTGCAAAAACTGCAGCAGCTTCGCGGGGTTTGCAGCTTTTCGTCGCGTAACTACGTCACTTCATAACGTTCCAATGGCAACAGGGGAAAAGGGCTGCTCTTGTGTGAAGTGAACTCAACCTTTCTGCGAAGATATATGTGACTTTTTTGCAACAAAAATGCGGGGATTATGAAATCATGCAAGCCCCGTATTTTGCGCGGAAATCTGCAATTTATGCGCGAAAGTGCAGCATATTTGAAAAAATGAGGCCCCCGCATAAATATGCGGACTTTGGCTGATTATGCATTGAATTATGCAATCGCATAATCGCGTTTTTCTGGAGGGACTGTTTTTTATATGATGACAGCTGCTGTTGCCATCATCTCACAGGAGCCAGGGTTATCTTTTCCAACTGGATGGCAACTGTGTGTCTTTATTTGGTCCTTTCTTTAAATGTGAACAATCTAAACTACACAATATTTACAAGATGTACTATAAAATAATATATATAAATATATAAGGTAAAAGAATTATATTATTGAATTATAGAATTATAACACTAGAAATGTAGAAAAAGATTTTTCCATATTAATATAAAATATAAGAAAATATTTAACACTTATTTTAAAAAAGAGGTGTGTCCTCTTTTTATAGCGTTATAATTTGGCATTGATTTCGACATGAAAGATACTGAAAGATTTTCTGCATGAATATTTAAATATAAAAAAGAAGCATTTAAAATGGATAGAACAAGGTGTGTCCTACTTGTGTTGTAACATATTTTTTTATTGACATAGATTTAATATTACAGATAAAAGAAGTGGAATTTATTTCTGAGTGGTCATGGTGTCATTGGTCATGCCTTGCCAATTTGTACTGTTCGTTTCCTCAGACCCAGAGCAGCAGAGAAACACTCTTTAATTGCTCATGGTGGACCCTTTTTAGCAGGAGTCTCCTGTGGTTGAGTCTAAGGGAGGTTTCCCAAGGTCAGCACAGGGCACCGTGTATGGTTTGGGAATCTCATTTAGACCTCACCACCAAAATGTAATTTTCTCTGTTTGCAGTGTTGCATTTTATGTGAGCTTGAGCGGATATGTCGTTAAAGATTTTATGTAGCCATCTATGTAGCCAAGTCCTGCTGAGAATGTTTGTGAAATACACCGCAGGGATAAGGACCAAGTAGTACTTGGCCTACTCTTCTTGGATGGGCATCAGTGTTTGTGTATATGTATGTAAAAAAAAAAAAAAAGGGGAGAGTGAGTCTGCGTATCAGCCCTCTAAGTGACATGCAAGTCTTTGGGAATTTATGCTGTTGACATTTCTGGCAACGGTTGTTATCTCTATGGAAGCAAAACTGACAACATTAGACATTCTTTCCCAAGATACTAAAAGAACACAATGTGTTAGCAGCTAGTTATTTTGGCCATCAGGGCCAAGTTAATGTATCATAATATTTTCTAAAGGTGTGTCTGAGTGTTCTCTTTACTTCAGGCAGTGTTTCTACAGGAACAAAGTCCACCATGTGTAATTCATTAGGCTCTCTTCAAAAGCCCGCTGCAGCCATTTCTGCTCAGCAGATGAAATAACGGAAGAAAAAGAAATCACCTCCAAGGGCTAATTGAGACGCTGAGCGTGATAATTGACTAAATAAAAAAGCTCTTACCATGTGTCATTCAGTCAAACCACAGGGAGAAAGCTGTCGCTGAGGTAATGCAGATTAAAGGAGGTATTTTTAGATATCAGAAATGTTTCTCCCTTCAGCCTCACTGAGCACTGCACGCCACAGTGTGCAGGTTCCAGCCAGCAGGCTAATCATTGACTAATTACAGAGAGTGTATCTTGTTGTGCTTCTGTTGCCAGCTGGTTGTCCTGGTGGAACCCGCAGGATTAACAGGATTATGGGAGGACAAGAATGTAATGATCTCACATTTTAGGCCTTTAGCAACAAATTGTCTCTATCTGCGTTAAGGATGATTCAGTGGGATAGGTGGTGGAAAAATGTGCATCATTTGGAGAATCCTCCTCTGTTTTGAACCTCACCTGGCATTTAAAGGATTATTCCAAATGCCAGAAATGGTCATCAACCTGAGTATTGTTTGTTGATACATGATAGACATGGTCATTACAGCAAATGGGATGAAACTGCTTATTACGTTCTGATCTGTTCCATTTCACTAGCTCTCATGTGATTAGCCCCAGTCAGTGTTACAATGGTGCGTTACCTGCCTTCTCTCTCCAGCAGCAATGGGAACAGCAGTAGCTGGAGCAGTCTGGGCCTGGAGGGGGAAGCCTGTGAGGAGCGGATGTCATTCTCTCCTTCTGACAGGTTGGTCAGCAACTGCTTAAAACTGCTAACCTTCCACCCGTTAGGGCCTGGGGGTACACCTAGAATGGAACAAAGATATAGTCATTGTATGATGCCAAAAGTAAGCAAGGGAGCATGTAACAGATCCATCAGTGGAAAATCTCAGCCCCAAACTGGAACCAGGGCATTGCTTCATCATGTGAAAATGATTGAAAACATGCAATGTGCAATGGCATTTTGATTTATACTTTGTCCCATACTAGAAACCACCAGCCCCTTGCATGACCACACTAAAGCTCTAAGAATAAGTAGGCTTGACATGGCATATGCTTTTTGATGCTAACGTCAGCATGCAATGTTTTGCTGTTTCTGTGTGTACTGTGTTTGCTTAATAGGGTCATTTGTAGTGTTAGTATATTTTGGGGGTTCTTGCCCCCATTGCAATCACAGTTCAACCCACTAATATGTTTAGATATTTGTCTTGCAGATGTTTCCGTCATACTCACGAAAATATTCTGCAGCATTGACAAGTTCAGTCCGTACTGCCAGCCGTCCATAAACACAAATCGTTTTCTCAGGCTGGCAAATGTTTTTCTTTCCATTTATGCTGCCGCTTGTTCCAGCTTATATCAAGTGAAGTACCATCAATCGACGTGTTAATCAACATGTGCTCGTAGGAAATCCCAGTATCATTTCTCATTTGAGGATGAGAGTCCACCACTGAGCAGCAGTCTTTAAAAAAAAAAGAAGAAGAAGAAGAAAAAGCAAAAACTGTTTGACACGGTTATCCTTTAAGAGTAACCCAACCCTAACTAAACCCGAAACCTTTTTTTTCCTGCTGAAAACCTTTGTATATGGGTATTGACTAGTGTTGTTGATTGGTTCAGTTCAAAATGTGGACATTTTTGCTATTGGCTGATCTGGAGGGAGGTGACACTTTTGGTTACCAACCTATCCTATAAAACCAATGTATCCACTCTGCAGGCTGTGGCCTGCTACATAGCTGTTAGCCTGACAGTCTGCACACAGGTAGCAGAAACTTTGACGAACAGCTGTAAATGTGTTTTCAGTGACTGTGAAAGCTCCAGCGGTGTTTACAGCCTGGACACGGAGAGTCTGACAGCAGCTGCTCATAGCTGGTTAGCTCTGTTAGCTCTGACTATTGGCAGCCTTACTCCTGCTATCTTGAACCGGTGTTCAGTCTGTCACTCTGGCCATTGTAACCTCCTGCGTCACATACTGTGTAGTGACATGGCCACACCCCCAATATGATTCTCTCTGTAGCATTTCTTTTTATTTGCTGGGAGGGAGGAAGCTAGTAGAATTTGGGGGTTTAGTTACACTTTAAACAACTTCCATGTTTTCTGGGTTTTATTTCCCGTAAAGGAAGTACATGAATTCAGTTCTGTTTGACAACCAGTTCTCAGATGTCAGTGCTTCCCACAGGCATCTGAATGCACCATCAAAGCAATCAGTGCTTTACAACTGCATGATTAGTACTGACAGAAAAAAATGAGGTGACAAAATAATCACTGTAATGAACTATCTCAAGCAAGTTAATGCATGTTGATGTTGATACTGGTTGTGGTCTCCTAGAATGCAGCAAACCCAATATACTGTTACAGTTCTTGTGTTTCAATCCTTTGCTGTCAATGGAAAACTACAAAAATACAGAATTTGCTTTATCAACAAGACCATTTAAGTGCATTTAGCAGGAGTTAAGGATCTTGTTTTTCCATCATCAGGAAAACAATGTGCACATTTGATACTTTAGAAATGACAAAAAATAAGAGCATTTAACAGGAAGAAGAAATTCTGCACTTTTATTTGTGGACCCAAATCTTTGAGAATTAATGTTTTAGTATATAAGCCACAGAAGGCAATGTTGAAATTGTCGCAGTTAGCAGGATTTTATGTTTTTTCTTCCATTGTGATGAAGGGAGGTAGTTAATTGACTGGATTAGACAGACATTTCTGCCTGGTTAACAGTAACAGTTTGCAGGAATAAACAAAGAAGTAATTAAAGTAAAAGAAATAACATACAGTACAGTAATGGAGGATATCACCCTTCATCACAAGGGAATGTCACTTGGCACTGAGGATCAGCAAATAGCAGCTGGGCCGTCCAGTGCCTGCCATTAGGTGGCAGGTTTTCACAGATTCAGGTTTGTGGTTTAGTTAGGAAAAAATAATCAGAATTGTCTCATATAATATGGCTTATGCTGGTCAAGGCTCCAGTATGTCTATATGTACTGTGTTATGTACTGTTTTTTATTAAACTTTACTTGTTCTTTAATGTATAAATTGGTGCTGCTGTTTGTCCTCACTGACATTGTCATTGCTGCTTCATGTTCCTGTTCATAAAAACAGTGAATGTGAGAAGTCTTAGACGTCCTCCTGGAGAGAAAATGATATCCTTATATCATATTGAGCAGAGTCTGAGTGTCTGTAGCCGTGGGCTGTGTCAACAAGACTGTGATTAACAATCTTATAAAGTGGAGAAATGACTGTTTACCTGTTGGCACGTCACACAGCAAATATTTGCACAATTGACAAAATGGCTATCGAGTAGATTTTCAGAAAGGAAAAATCAACGTTCACACTGAGATGTACTCTTAGTCATCGTGTCTTAACTGACAAAAGACATTGAAGCAGAAAAGTAAATTTACTGGAATCTAAGAGTGACTGGAAATATGCAGCATGGTTTCCTCAGTGTGTGTAAGATGGCTTTTGATCAGGATTGCTTTGATTGCAGTGCTTGTGGCTTCTGATATCCTGCTGTGCTTATGTCAAAGGCTGTTAGCTTAAGCATGCTTGTTGTTATTGGTATCTCCTTGCATGCAGCCACATCTCCCCACAGCCATTCCACCCTTTTTACTGATTAACCTGGGTAACATTTCTCATCCAACAGTGACAATACAGAGGACAAGGAGACTGAAGTCAAAGAGGAATCCAGCGGTAAGGACACTTAACTGCCTGCAACTTCACCTTTTAAGGTAGCCAGTATGAAAAAAAAAAAACATGGTGCACTTTTGGAGAGTTAGGAGACAGGCCTCTCTCCTAATTTGAGGTCTTTCCACTCCTTGAGCTTTAGAACAGTGTGCCTTGATTCTGGCTGCACATGTACGCCTGTCTGCCTGTCTGAATGTGCTGTAGCCGGGGATTTTACCACCCCCATATTCAGCCACACTAACGCTCATTCATCCACTCCACTCCCTCCACCGTCACTCTGTGTTATATGTGTGTGTCAAACCAGAGCAGCCCCCGGGGGGGGGATCCTCATTGGGTCTGTTTTGCTGTGGGAACCCAGCACTAGAGTAGAACAGGACTGTTACATATGAAACTTGGTGTATTTGTTTGTTTTTGTAGTACTTGAGAAGAGATCACAGCAATGTACACTAATGTCTTTTGAGTTATGGCAACTTCTAATGAAATTACCTTCAACAAATGTACTTAATTGAGTTAGGGGAATTTTGCTCTACAGTCAAAGGTATTTTTAATTACCACTTATTTAGTAATTGGTAGCACAAATTTAAGTCGATTGGGCTACTAGTTTTTCCACATTATTTATGTTTATTCAAATAATGTTTGCAACTTAAAAGGTTTATCTAACTCAATGAAAGTTTTATCTTGCAACCATGCATTAATTCAAGTGGTGACAATAGGTCCACTGAATTTCTTTTTAGAGTGTGCTATAAACTCAATAAAAAGCAGGAAAATGGAAAGAAAAATGTGCAAGGATGATTCACGTTTGTCTGTGCTGCAGGGACTCTCTGTGTGGACAGGACTCAGGTGCAGGTTCCCAGGATTGCACTGGTCATGCTGAACTCGGACGTCAGGGAGGCCCGGGCGCGCCCCCATCACGTGAGCCTGGACTCTCAGCTCAGGACCATGCTGCAGTGGGTGGCGGCCTCCATGGCCGACGTTCCCCTGATCCAGCTGAGTCTCGACAGAGAGCTCCAGCAGGTGATTGCCCTCAGTCCATTATGAACATATTCATTACCTGCCATCAAACAGGTTCCCAAACATTAAGACTCTCTTTAACCAAGTCAAATTGCTTCAGTGAACGATGGCATTCTTTCCATGTTTGTTGATGTTGGTTTTAAAGGTTAGCAATATTGTACAGTGGTATTCTGGTTTCCACTAGAGTTAGCTGTGCTGTGGAGACAATTTCAAACGTTTATCCATTCCACTTGCTAACTAGTTTTCATACACTTTCAATTGCAGCACGTTGCTCTAGATTACAGTTAGAATGACACCTGTGTGCGTTTTCAGCTGCCAGCAGTGGTCCAAAGACTTCGGGAGAGGAAGTGGAGGGTGGGCGAGCTGCTGCACTCGCTTCTGCGCTACTGTGAAGAGAGTCAGACACACAGTCAGTCCCAGGCCAGAGAGGAGGCCCTCCAGGCGGGCAGAGACCTTCACCGCATCCCCCTCTTCCAGTGGCTTCTGGAGCACGCCTAGGGCCTCTCCTTTTTTCTTTTCTCCTCCTCTCCTCTCCTCTCTATCATCTTTTATCAATTCATTTATTTATCGGGCTGCATATATCACACGTGTTGATTTAGTGAGCTGTCTCTCCTGCCCGCCTACACTCTGAATTAAAACCCTCACACCTTGCTGCTGTTGTGCTTGAGCTACAGAAAGAAAAGGAGAGGAGAGAAAGACTCATCCCATCTGTTCCAGACAGAGACAGAAATGCATTTGAGAGAAAGAGAATGTGTTTTTTGTTAGGGAATCCCCATAGCGTTTGGGCGGATGATGTCATCACACCCACAGCTCACCTCTGTGGTGGTGTTTCCACATGTTAAGAGACCAACTGTGCGCACACATTCACACACCACACCCTTGTATTATCACAGGGAATCCAAGACACTCGCTGACATCCATCACAGCTGTCCCCCCATAGTATGAATCCACTCACAGTGACTCTGCTTGTCATTCACATTTTCTTCCAGTGAAGTGTTTTTTCTCTGGACCACTGGATGAGTTAATGCTGGTATAATGACTTGTCACATTTAACAAATATGCTGCCATACGTACAGTTTGAGACGTCACTGTTAAAGTTGTATAACCCATATCTTCAGTAAATTGTACTACACTGTCATTTTGCATTGATGATCAAATGGGGCCATTTATTTGGCAGTACAGTGATAGATAGTGCTTGATGAAGCCGCCTCTTGCCAGTATTGGTGTTCCTGTTGTATCTAATACTGTAGCACTGCTTGCCTAGCCTCAATCTCCTCGGTTGTCAAACTTAGTAAAATACTTAGAGTGGATGATTTTCACTGGGGCGATGGGTATTAAAAAAAAGATATATAAAAGTCTATTTTTTGAAGGTAGAGTATGTCTACTGAAACATGAAATGCTGCTCAAAGCTATGAAACAAGCCATGATTATTGGCTTAATGTTGCCAAACGTAGCTCATAAGGTGACTCCCTTCCCTCTAGCCGGTAGCGTATGATGGATCCTCCGGTCATCTGTGCCAGTGGCCCACGTCCAGTTTTGGGGAAGATCCAATGACGCAGATAGTGGATCTTTTAGTAATTAAAGACACCCCGCCGGTTTGCAACTCCAAAACCACAATCTACCAGTCTGTACATTGCTCAAGCCTGGACTCACACATCTCGTCACCCCCACCCCACAGTCACCTTGTGGAATGAACAACTCTAAAATACCACAACTCCCCCCCCCACACACACACACACCCTTGTTACTCACCAGCCCCCATGTGTACGTCCACATGCACAGCACGACCAGCTACTTGCTGAGATGCACTTTTTTTTGAGAGAGAGGAGAGAGACCGGGCATTTCCAGCCCTGCCCTCAGACCTCTCCTGGCATCCTCTGTGATTTTCCTCCTTGGCATGGATGGTCAGTTACATGCACATCCGCCTCCTCCCCTAAAAAAAAAAAAAAAAAAAAAAATGATTGGGATAAATTTTGATGTTGCGATTTATTTATTGTTGTATTTAAGTGAGGGACCTAAGGATGACACGATGCTGCAAGGTCCTCAAGTTTCTATCAGGACTTCCTTCGTGAGTTTGAAACACTGTAACATACCACAGCCTCGCGTCCAATATTATAAACTGTATAAAAGTGTTGATGGTGGTGTTCACCTGCATGGCTTAAATCCTTATTGACTTTTGAAGCTAAAGTTCAACATTATTCTTCTTAATGTATTGGCCTACACTAATTGAGCTACAGTGATTGGTCTGCGTCCACACTGCCTCACAGTATGCTATAGGTCTCTGCAGATGCCTTGTCTGTTACTGCTTAATCTCTAGGCTGCCAAATGGTCATATAATCTTAAAGGTGTTTGTCCTGTATGATTTGTTTACACACAAAAACCATTATATCACAAAAATCCACTATTTTTTAAAAGAAATCCAGTGATATAACCCAAAGTTATACCTACTATTATTATGAATAATAGTAGAAAAGAAAAGAGTGAAGTATTAACCTGAAGTGAGAGAGTGCATATATCTTGGTTTACATTGAAGGAATGTATTCATGAGTTGACACATGAAGAGTGCATCAGTGTACAAATTCTCCCCCAGTGTGAATGTTTAGTTATTGAAGCAGGGTTTTTCCCCCATTGCCCCCCCTCTCCTGTTCTTTCTTTATCTACTTTACATTCCTGTGCATCCCCATTGACCTATCGCGCTATATTGTTGTTTGTGAAAGCTGAATGTGTACCTGTAAAGACAGACAAAGACATTTAGAAGCAGATACTGTAAATCTGTTTTGCTACTGTTGTTCCCAGTGTTACGTCCTGCCTCCTTCCGTCCGGACACAGGCAGGACAATTGAAAATGAAAAAAAAAAAGGGGTGTACCTCCTCACCTCCACTAACTTATGTATTTTTCCTTGCTTCCTTGTAAAATCCTGCCAAACAAAGATATTTAATAAATTATGTAAGTTATATAACAGTGAGTTCACTACTTGTTCTCCCTAGTGGCATTGTTAAATAGTTTACACATTCTAAGCTTGAAGTCAAAAACTCTAAATTTGTTTATGTTAAAGCTTGGTGTGACAATAAAGCTTTTTCATGTGCTCTTATTTTTTGTCTCCATTTAGTGAAGAAGTCACATCATTGTATGATTGTGTGTAATATTGTTTCACTTTGTCAAGGTGTGGTATCACAGATAACATCAACTTCAAAACATGGACATCATTCTATGCAGTAACTGGTGTTCAAAGGCTTCAAAAAGCAACTTTGAGGACAAAATGTTCCATTACTGCCTAATATATCCCACCCACTGACAGGAGCCATGATATCCAGATAATCAGTGTTATTCACTTCAACTGTCAGTGATTATAATGTTATGGCTGATGTAATGTCTGAACTCTGAAAGGGGTGACTGCATAATGAATATTTACAAATACATTTTGCGGATAATACTGATGTACTTTGAGAATATTTTTACACATTGAAACTCCTACTTTCACTTCACCCACTGGGTTTATGAAAGAAGAGAGTGGTCAAGCCATTTTACATTACGCATTCCCACCTTGTAGGGGATTTGAAATGTGTGACTATAGATCAGGGGTGGCTGTGGCTCAGAGGCAGAGCGGGTAGAAGTATCCTTGAGCAAGATACTGAACTCCAAATACAGGTCCATTTACCATCAGGAATTTGTTTATGCTAAGCTACATCATGAGTTCCTCATTCCCTCATCCTGTTATGTCGACAACAGTAGTTCACAACCTGTTTTGTCTGACGTACTCTAAGAAGCCCTGCCAGATGAGCTCAAGTACTCCGTCATTGACACCAACCAGTTCAATTGATTTTAAAGATCCCTCCAGAAATGTAAGAATATAATATATATTATTATTATTATTATTATTATTATTAATATATGTATATAATAATGGAACACCCTGAAAGGGGTAACTCTATATAATTAATACTTTTGAATGAACATTTTACTGATAATAGTGATGTATTTTGGAATGCATGACTTTTTATACAGTGAAATTGCTAATTTCACTTAAAGATCCCTCCAGACATGTATTAAGACATGTATACAAATAGCTTGGAACAATAATGTGTGTCTGATATGTTTTTTCCACAAAAAAAGTCCTTAAACAGTAATCTCCAAAACTTCCAGAATCTCTGAATATACAAATGTTGTTGATTTCTAAAGTTTTCCTGCTGGACACAAGATGTCTCCTACTTCACTGTAAAGTCCATTCTCAGTGGATGTGCACTGGTGGATTCAAGTTTCTACATCACACTGCACCAGTTGCATACTGGACCAGGATGGACTTCCTGACTATTTGTGATGTCACAAATCCTGCTGGTAGGCCCCGCCCCTTAAAATCTGATTTTCAATGAGCTCAGAGAAACTTTCCACTTTCAGCAGATGAATGTGAAAACATCCTTCTAGTGTCAAACTCTGTACAGACAGCATTCAGACAGCACACTGTAGGAACAAGAACTGACTGGAGGGGGGCTTTAAATAAAGGTACATCTGATATGATTGCACAGTGAGTAAACAATTACCCCCAAAAAATTTAATGATCCAAATAAAGTCCTACAACCACTGGTTGTCTCACTGCAGCGGTGATCAGAAACTACATCAAAGTCAGTCCTCAAACACTTTGACAGATGTTCTGTCTGTCCTCTCTGCTTGTAAATCCGAGACCATGGAGAATGCTGATATAGGGTGGGTTTCCCAACAGCCTGCTGCTAACTACAGTGATTCCTCCGAAACAATTAAAAGGCTGTCACTTTACCAGCCAAGGCTGGTCCACCTCCTTACTGTTACTTGTGCTGCAGGTGCCAAAGGAAACAGAAGGAATGTGTATCTATCAAAGCTGGTTTCAATAACAGTGCTACAGTTCCTGGTTATGCCTGGATACAGCTGCACAAAACAGCCATTGTTGCTGTGTGATTAAGCCGTACCACACACGCACAAATATATAATTAGGTAACATTCGCTACAATGGCCGGTACCTGTCAGCATACAGCGCTCTGTGTAGTGGATGAATGGAGGTGTCTGTCTGACAGGGAGGGAGAGAAAAGAAGAAAGAGAGGAGGAGGAGGGAAGGTGGGAATGCCTAATTGCAGGCTGTACAGTGATACAGGAGGTGAGGAATGTGTCTGACAAGCACATCGCTGATCTTTTGAGCGGCGGGAAGCCTGCTGACAGACAACGAGAGGCTCCCAGGCCAGCCAGCCATACAAGGATATGGTTGGCTCAACCTGTGGGTGACCTGAATGAGTGAAGTCATTTCCAGTAAAATAGTGGATAATGTGAGCGAGTGTGTGGAGATCTTAATGTCTGTCCCCTCTTGGTGAGAAAATGAAGTATGCTTACTGAGAAAAATGACCAGATAAGTATTTCCCGATAGCTACTCCTGAGCAACATCACAAATCTTTGTTTGGTCTGGGAGACTCACTTCCCAAAATTACACAAACAGAAAACCCCAGGAAAATATAGGAAATGCTGTGTTTTATCACTAATAAAAAAACGTCTTTACCGTTTCAGGGTTCAGAAGCTGGATCAGTACTTTCAGGGTGTTAGTGTGTCCGCATGCAGGGACGCAGGGCAAAGAAAAAGTAAAAATACATTGGGAAAGTCCCATTACTAAATGATGTGGGTACAATCCCAAAGAACTTTTCAGCATGTAGCCTACTTTTTCAATGTTCATTGAAGAGATTTCTTTTTTAATGAGTTAAAAAACTGGCATACCTGATTGGTTTATTGATTGATATACACTACTCACAAAGAGTTAGGGATATTTGGCTTTCGGATTAAATTTCAGAATGTACATAAAATGCACTATAACCTTTCCAGGTGATCTTAATTTGAACTTCTCTACTTAAATGCCCTACTTTCATGATATAATATCACTGTAGCATCAACTTTTTACATTTTCATTAAATTTCACCCGAAAGTGGAATATCCCTAACTTTTTGTGAGTAGTGTATATATATGAGTGAGCATCTAAAATAGAAATTAGTGTTTTGCACTCTTCATCAGTGCTACAGACACAGCGTGTAGGACTAGGGGGGCCGTGGACAGGGGAGGGGCCCATTGGGAATGCCTGTGTGCAGGGCTCAGAGTTTTGTGCTATGCCCCTGTACAGATATGGAGGTTTTATAGGCTGAGAGGAAATAACATTCCCAACTAAAGGTCCACCTACTAGCTTCTTCCTACTGTCTTCCTCAACAGATGGACTTTGCCCAGTTGTCATGGTGATGGATTGTTATCATGCAAGCTTTTAAATAAGCCTTCATTCATTTTAGGATTTCTTGTCCACGTAAAGGTTAATTCAATTCTATTTTATTTGTATAGCGTTCATTCATAACAGAAGTTATCTCAGGACACTTTTCAAATAGAGCAGGTCTAGACCGAACTCTTTAAAACATTAATTACAGAGACCCAACAGTACCACCATGAGCAAGACCTTGGAGACAAGGGCAAGGAAAAACTGCCTGTTAAAAGGCAGAAACCTAGGACAGATCCTCCGGCTCTAGGTGGGTGGTCGTCTGTCTCGACCAGTTGGGGTGAGAGAGAGAGAGAGAGAGAGAGAGAGCATATAAATTAATTCTTGATCTTGTAAATAGCAACTAGCTCTTTCCAGAGCTTTCAACCATATCACACAAGAGAAAAGCTTGTGTTAATTGAACCTTCATAAGTCCCGCCCCTTTTTGCTCTGTTCTCCAATAACAGTTGAGCAAGCCTCAGTCAGAACCTCAGTTCTCCTTTCCTGTACTTAGATATGCTATGTGCTAGCGTGTGTTTGTTGAAAAGACGAGAGATAGTTAGATAGTGTTTTACTACAGAACAAAACTCTAGCAAACTGGTTAGCTAATCTACATCAATCAATACTTATATCTGATTGCTAGCGTTTTACTGGCTAATTTAACATGTGGCTATATACTGTAGGCTATATGTCGCTTTTATCATTTAATCATCTTCAAAATGTGGTTGTCTTTTCAACGTAGACGAGGCTAGCACATAGCATATCTAAGTACAGGAAAGGAGGAAGCTGACTGAGGTTCCAAAAGGGGCGGAGCCTAGGAAGGGTCAATTGTAATGATAGAGAAGTTCAAAGTGTTTTTAAGGTCGAGGCCCTGACTCTTTTTTAACAGTTTAAGAAGCCAAATGGCACCGAAGACACCAATTATACACTGATTTAACCAATAAAGCAGGGGTGGATATGACACTTTAGGGAGATTTTATTTATTTAACAAAGCAAAGACCCATATTATGCCAACTTAAGGTGGCCAATGTAGTGACTATTTTCTAAGTAGGACCTTATAAAGTACCAGGGTCCAACAAATCCATCATCAAAGTCTTGATAAACCATTGAACACTAACTTCTTAATCGAGCCATGAATATATTGCTTCAAATTTCTTATGATTATTATCATTACATGTACAACCCTTTCTTTGTCTCCTCTGCAGTGTTTGTAGTAGTTATGTTATTGGTACATGTTCTGAATAATGTGAGAAAGCATTACTGTGGTCAAGTGGTGAGTGACACAGAGCAACCACTACTTGGAGTGCGTCAGTTGATGCTTTAGGTGGCCACAGCAGAGTGAGGAAGACAGGATGAGACTCGGTCCTGGATGATACTCATACAGTACTAAAACATGACCACAGAAACCCTAATCGAAGATTGCAACAGCTTCACAGAAGTGACGCCACAGGAATGTTACTCAGACACAGCAGCAGTTTACAAGAAAATCCGATGCTTTTATTGATCTGGTCTGACACAAATTACTGTGCACACACGGACACACACACACACACACACACATTATCATCAGTACAGCCATGTATGGCAGTTATTGTGCAGATCTTCAGTCAGCAATATAGAGAGACAGACAGGAGCCCAGTATCATACCACCCTCAGTCTGTTCCACACTGGTGTGGCCTGATGTCTCTGCCACACACACACACACTGTCTCTGACATCACATAGGCTGGGTCCTAGCTTGGCGGATCCCCCCACTGCCTTCTCCCCACCGTGTCGATTTGTGAGTCACTGACATCACTTCCCCCCCAACAGTAACAAACGGCTGAGTTGTTGGGAGAGTCTACTGGATGAGAGGAGAGGAGGGACGTTTGAGTCAATCCCATGGAATCCATGATATACTGTACTGGGCTTTGTGTTGGAAAGGGGAAAACCAGCTACATCATCCCTACTAGGCTTTTGTTTACTCCGGCCTGAAGAACACCTCCTTTGTTTTGCTTTTTATCTTCTCTTCCTCTTCCTTTCATCACCATGGACTTTAGGTGTGAGCAGTTAATGGGCCGAGGGCTGAATCATGGAGGTGGGTCTGAGAAATTAATTTTCTCCTGGAACTTGTGACCAATAGTTTTTAAGCGGAGGTTGAACCTCACGATCCAACTGTAATAATGAAAAAGTTTATGGAGTGGAAAATGTAATCGTTCAATTTTTCTTGCAAATAACACTTGAAGGTTTTCCTCTTAGTATCCAGATTTCCCACCGGGTTTATGAAAGAAGGGAGTGGTCAAGCCATTTTACATAACGCATTCCCACCACCTGCACTTTGTAGGGGATTTTAAATGTTTTACTATAGATCCGGAATTTGTTTATGCTAAGCTACATCATGAGTTCCTCATTCCCTCATCCTGTTATGTCGACAACAGTAGTTCACAACCTGTTTTGTCTGACAAACTCTAAGAAGCCCTGCCAGATGAGCTCAAGTACTCCGTCATTGACACCAACCAGTTCAATTTAAAGATCCCTCCAGAAATGTAAGAATATAATAATAATAATAATACATATATATATATTATTATTATTATTAATAATAATAATATGTGTATATAATAATGGAACACCCTGAAAGGGGTAACTCTATATAATTAATAATTTTGAATGAACATTTTACTGATAATACTGATGTATTTTGGACTGCATGACTTTTTATACAGTGAAATTGCTAATTTCACTTAAAGATCCCTCCAGACATGTATTAAGACATTTATACAAATAGTTTGCTTGGAACAATAATGTGTGTCTGATCCACAAAATATGTATAATTTCACACTTGCATTAGTTGCATACTGGACCAGGTCTTTAGTCTAGCTATGTAGCCCAAACCATTAGCTGCTATGCTGCCATACACTACTACATTTCGCTTAAATGTCATCAGACCTAAGTAAGGCTATATTACAGCATATGTGCTAGAAGATAAAAAAGCTACATACATGCTAGTACACTACTATTATGGCCTACATACCTAGAAGAAGTCCTTTGAAAGGAGTTGGATTAAATCAGAGTTCTATTATTCTAGTTAAGAGTCCGCTGGATGAGCCCCTCTGAGTTGAAACTGGATTTGAAAACTGAATTTGGCACTCTACTGAAATTGAAGTAATATTAGTTAAAAACAATACGAGTTCAATTTGTGCTGGCACTAAAATAACTCAATGTTAAAGCCTCTACAATGAACATTGTGTTCATTTGTGCGTCCCCTGTGGACAAAAGCGGTAGTGTTTCAATGATTTCAAGGGGAATCCAACTGAATCCGACTGGGTGGCAGGCATTAAGGATAACTATACTGAAATAGCTGATAGTCTTGTTTGTTTATATAGGTCATACAGAGGCACCAAGATCAAATTGAAACTGTCTCATAACCTTGTAGTAGGTATAATTAGTTTATCTTACCATGTACATATGGACCACTTCAGAAGTACCCCCTGGGAAGATACTTCTTGTTGGGAATCAGTTATCCTCCTGTGTTGTTTTTGCTGATGTCATGGTAACAGAAGTTGTGGTGGACTTCCTTAATCCTGTTGACTTTATGAGTGAGGCCACGACTAATGAAAGATCCCACAGAGTCACCACCGGGGAGTTGGAAACGTTCATCTTTCAAAACGTGAGGCGAACACTACCCATGACATTTCCTTGCTATTGTCTGCTTGTTTCCAGGAGTGACCACATAGTGATTCTGTAACCGTGAGCGTGTGTGTGTGTGTGTGTGTGTGTGTGTGTGTGTGTGTGTGTGTGTGAAAGCCAAGCAGCGGGCATGGACAATAACTCTTCAATTCCCAGGGCTACTCAGACCATGGCACAATGAAAACTATCAGCGTGGGAGCGAAGGGATAGAGACAGTGATGACAGAGAGAGAAAGGTGGCGGGGGCAGTCAGGGTGGGGGGGTGGGGCAAGAGATAAGAACTTACGTCCGAGGGAACAGCTGAATCATGTTGAAATTATGAGTGTTTATCTGAAAATGATTGGAAGGGTGCAGAAAGAGTGGATTGTGGGCGGAGGGGAAATATCGCAGTCAAGAGGGGCTGCTGGTGTTTCCCAAACTGACTTCTCTGTTTTGACTCTTTGGTGATTGAAAACAGCAGTTGGAGCTTGGTGTGGACCTGGTAACGTGGTAAATAATATTAGGTATTATCTGTGAACATTGGTAGTGAGCCTGTCTGACTCACAAAAACAACAAGCATCCCCTCCAGCTGGTGCACACTGCACACCAGTGCTCCCACCCTGGAGGAAAAGCAAACAGCAGAGGCAGGCTTTCGCTGTTTGAGAGGAGTTGCTTCATCTGCTGTTGTGTCTCTGTTCATCTTCTGTCTGCTTTTACACCCACTGCTCTATTGACTCAGGTGTGTGCGTAAGTTTTGGCTTTTGACAGACAGCGCTATGAATGAGGAAACATCTTGACAGAATCATCTTTTTCTATGACCTAAGGGTGCTTCCTCCACGCTCACACCCACCTTGGCGACGACAGTGTGGTCTGAGTCTTCAGGCCGGGCCTCTTTGATGCGACCGCAGAGAGGAAGCAGAGGTCAAGTCTGGGAGATCATGACATGGCTAACTGAATAAGAGACGTCTCCTGCTGATGTCATGGTCGGTCCTGCCCTGTTGTGTTTTTCCTTTTCCTCCTCCTCCTGCTCCATCCTCAACCTCCTCCTCTTCGCAGCCCGGTTCGATAGCAGTGAAGCTAGCAGTAGATTTCCTATTGTAGGAGTGAGCGCACAACAGAGATGTGATGGTCTGGAGAATTTGCACAGCATGCTTTGCTGATTTGCTCACATGCACCTCAGTGGTTGAAACCACACCCCTCCTCTTTTAGGCTACCATACTCTATCATCCAGTCTCATCACAGGGTGCACTGGACCCCATGCCAGATTATTAATATCTAACACAAACAGACTAGGCGTGGGATTCTGAGAAACGGTGGAAAACTCTTCCCAGTTCCCACCATCAGGGTGAAGTGTGAGGATGAATCTCTTGTTTTGGACAGAGAACAGTGTTTGCAATGTGATGTAAGATGGAGGAAGAAGAGAGGCAGGGGAGCAGAGAGGAAGGAACACAGGGCGAGAGGATGTAGGAGCACCGGGGAGTGCTGACACTTTTAGTGAATGTGTTGGGGGACATGTGTTCACACGCGTTTTAAAGAAGGAAAGCTTTGCTCCCACTGACTGAGCATCATTTTTTTGCAGCTGTGCACCCACATGGGTGTGTACAGTGCATACTCGAGCATGTTTTTATGCAAGTAGAATGTCTGTGTTAGTCTTTATCTGCATATTTTTAGCCATGATAGTGTCATGGGTATGTTGTTGTTGGCAGTGTCGGTTTGTCATTCCATTACTTTGGTTCAGACGAAAACAGCTCAACGGTGGAATGCCATGAAATTTGGTAAACATGCCCCCGTCTTTCCTGTAGTGCCACCATCCGGTCAAATTCTGTGAACTATTTCCAAATCTGCATGATGAATTCATGGTTCTCATCACGGTTCCCAGTGAATAAAGCTTCATGACAGTGGGGTTCCCCTGACTTTTCTATTAGCACAACTGTTAACACTGCTAAACACTATTATAGTGAGCATGTTAACATGTTAGCATTTAGCCACTGAGTACCACTGTCTAAACGCTTATTCTTGTTTATCTTTCCTTCTCCTTTAAATTATTTTAAAATTCTTTTTAAACATTTTCTTTTATGTAAAAAGATTTTAGATTATAATCAAGCCTTAAAGAACCCCTTCAGACATGGATTTGACATACAAACCTTGGATAAACCGAATGAACAAAAACAAAAACATGACAAGATGCTTTCATACAGGACATGAGGGGTCATTGAATGGTTTGATGAGAACCAAAATGACAATGAAATCAATCTGAATATGTCAGCCTATTGCATATACACCTACATGTATATACAATACACTGCTTGAAACAATAATGTGTCTGATATTTTTTTTCCGCAAACAAAAGTCTAATTTCAACATTAAAGTGGTCTTCATCACATCAATAGAAAGCTGCAACTTTGCATCTGCAGTAGATGCACTGCCGATCGGGAGCAGACTAGTTGTAACAAATGTATAAATGCAAATGGAGTGAAGTAAAAGTAGATTACTGGCTCAAAAATACACTCAAGAGTAAAAGTGCAGTTTGAAAAAAAAAATGTTTTGCTCATGTTACTACCCACCCCTGATTACTTCCTTTAAAACTGCCTCATTATATAATTATTTTATATAAATAAACTTTCTCAGCAGTCTGCCTTCACTTTCTACAAATGGGGCAGCTGCTTCCTCTCTTGGCAGGTGTGGTCATGTGACCCCTCCCACAGCTTGTTTCCATGTGCCACCACTCCAGACGAAATCCAAGGTGCAGCATTAATTCCATAACAGTCGATAATGACTTCAAAATAAATACTGTTGATGTCACTTGTCATTTCACTGCATTTCCCTCCGCACAGTCCAGAAGTGCCTGCTTTGATAGTCTGCTCAGTGTTCACCCTGACTCTCCCACACTCTGCAACCCACACGCATCAGCTGAAACGGGATCTGCCTAATGGTCTGGAATATCCCTGTTTGGGCTGATCATCACTCCAATTTTCTCTTCAAATGTGTAGTTTTGATAAAACCGCAAGCTGGTGTGATGTGACGGGAGAGGTGGAGAGGGAGGAGGAAAGTGGGGTGTAAACACTGGGGTTGCTATGGAGGCGGCAGTGCAAGAAGCTTTGAGCAAGGAGCAAGATAGGCAGTGTGTGTGTGTGTGTGTGTGTGTGTGTGTGTGTGTGTGTGTGTGTGTGTGTGTTTTATGGCAGACTTTGAGTGACCTTCTCACCACAGAGGATGTGGGAGCGAGGGGAGAAAGAGAGACAATTCCCTGCTCTTCATGCTGTGAGTCTTAAGAGCAGCCTCTCAATCAGATGAAAGAGAGAAATAATAAACAGTGGAAAAATCTGGGCTTGTTGTACCTTCGACGTCCTCCTCATGCGTGAGGAATCTGGAGAAGGCGTGTTATCGTTTTAAAGTGCCCAGTTAATCAAACACTAATACAACAGTTGTGCCCAGAATCCGTGCCATCAAATATTTATGCCAGGCAGCAGCTAGACCATTTCCTCATATTTGGCTTCTCTGAAACAGGCTGAATCCAGTGGAATCATGCTGGTTGCTTTGAAGCTAAAATAGCCATGGGCAGAACCAGACTGACCGGATCCTGCTCACAGTGACTGCGCAGTCTGTCCGTGAACCCTGAACTCTCACCCTTGACCCCAATAGTACCTCAAATGGCATAAACTGCTGATGTCACAGTTCACGGATAAGCAGGAGGTTGCTGAGTTTAACGTTGGGGTGAGTATGAGGGCATGGTTAACAAGGAATGCTCTTAAAAACCAGAGATAATCAAGTGCTCAAGAACAATGCAAGAGTTGGCCGGTGGCAAAGGTAAACACCCAGTCTCAAGTTTTATCTTTGCATGCAGATATATGGGCACTTTTGTGTTTCTCTCTCTCTGTCTTCATCTTTACCTCTCTTTACCCTTTCTTTCTCATTCATGCTTCATCTCTTTTTTTGTCTTTTCCCCCTCTCTCCAGCTACAGGGCTTTTGGCTGTCTGTCATCATCTGAAAGAGCATCAGGTTCCACTCTCTGGCAGGGTGTAGCAAAACACAGGGGCATGGAGAGCGTCCAAACACTCTTTCTCTCTCTCACATGTATCTATGCATGTGCACAGTGGCGGACTCAGGGTGTTTGAGGGGCAGGGGCGAAAAATAAGTTCTGATGCATTTATGGTGAAACAGCTTAGCCGGGGCTAGGATTAGATTTATCTGGTTTTATCCACTGAAAGGGCACTGTAGAGGGCACTTGATTACGTTTTCTCCACTGGAAGGTCACCCTGGATTGCACATTATCTTGTTTTGTCCACTGGAAGGGCACCCTAGTGGTCACAACCCCTACCCCCTCCCTGAGTCTACCAGTGTGCGTGCATGCACACTTGAGGGTCAACAAAACACAAATAAAAGTGTGATTTAAGCCAAACAAACACATACTAACCTGAATATAAGCACACACCTTGCCTCTGCTCTTCTCTGCAACAGCACCAAGCTTGTGACTCCTTGAGGAAATTGTTGAGGGCACAGGAAACCCACAGCTAAACACAGGTTCTTATGGCGTATTAATGACCCCTGACAGAGAGAGGAGCTTCATAGTACCACATCCAGAGCCGATGCCAAGACCACGCCACGGCCAGCCAAGTGCAGGAGGTCGCTGGAGCCACGAGTTCAAAAAGTCTCCTGGGGAAGATAAGATCTACATCCTCACCGGGTTCGCTCTGAGCCCAGACTCCAGTCCTTGAGCTACATGTCAGAAGCAAAACATCAACAGAGGCAGTTCTATACAAGCATGGTAAAAAGGAGAGTAATAGTAAGGGGGCTATGTGGTTGTACTACAACATAACCAAAATCATGTGTGTGGTTTTATGAAGTTAGAAAGCCCATAATGATGGTGTATTAAATGATTGTAGCGCCATGAGGTTTGCTGGTTTGAGGGGGGAGGCACATATAAAAAGCTAGCTTTCTCCCATGAACTCCTCTGGCACCCAGAAATTTGCTTGGATTTCGCAAACTCACCCAACCTACTACAACCACCCCTCCTTTCCATTGTCACTGCTTCTGCCTAAAATAACTCCTGTTCCTAAAGGAGGTTCATTTTCTGCTGGGTTTTCAAATACTACACTGTTGTTCTGCTGGCACTGGGAAAACAGGAGAGGGTTAGGGAGGTCACTCCTTGGGCTAACAGGAGCCACTGCCATGTTTAGATGCTGCTACAGCCGCGATGTGTGACCGCTGCACCGTCTGTGGACACTCAGCCTTAATGAGGTGGTCCAGCAGTTTTTGGAGAATGTACGTGTAAGTGGATTATAATAGGAGATGAGATGGAATTAATAGTATCATCTTGTGTTTGTTTTTATGTTTATTTTAGGTACATAGCTGAAACTGTGACAGAGAGTTCAAGTTTAAGTGGCTTTGTAGAGATTAATTTAAAGCTGTAGTAATCAATATTTTTATACTAGCAATGGATCAAATGACAAATGTGTCTCATATAAATGGTCAATTATCCTCCAACTCTGCAGTTCCCCTTAGCTCTACATAGCACTTTAATATCCTTGTACTCAATGTTTTGGTGTACCAGACCGCAACTTTACTGTTCTGGTTCACTCTCACTGCTCTCACCAACCTTGTTTCCAGCTGCAGCAGGCTGCTGTTTTCTGGGGAAAAATCTCTGATAACGTGGCTGTATGCTATCTGCCCAGAACCAAACGGCAGACAGCAGCTCGCTGGTGAATGTAGGGGAGCAATTAACAGCTAAAGAGAAAGATATTTTAAGAGGGTCCTGGATGCAGAGCTAGGCTGCCCCCGAAATCTCTATGATCTGAATCACCAGCAATCATCAACAGAGAAGCTGCAGCACCTTGGGAGGAGAGATTCTCTGTGGTGTGCCGGGAATGTATAACTGAACTATGAACTGGACATACGCTTTTACTTTCCACTTCAGGCACTGCTGATGAAGGAGTTTAGTGTGGCGCTGATATAAAAAAGAAGGTAAGATCGGTCGAATCTTCATAATGAACATCGAAATTGGATTCAACTGACAGTCACGTACAGACCTAATGCAGACATTCGCAGGAGCACACACAGAGGCACCTCTATTATATTAGTTAGCAGTCATGACATCAGGCATACTAACCACTCTCCTCAAAGCACCCCGGGGAGTGTTGGTGTTGTTAGAACAGAAGTTGGAAGGAAGAGGTCTTTAGGCCTGGGGGTGGGGATTCAGATAATGCTGGTGAGGAGTGGCACCAGAATGGGTAGTGTGGTTGAGGTGTGGCCCTATGTAAGCGTATTGCATTCACTGAAAAAAAAGAACTGCTTTGTTTGTCTTAATTAACAACTTATTATGTCAAAAATCTACTCTATTATTTTTAATTAACAAAATAACTACAGCATGCTCTCAAGGGCTGGCTCTATCCTATCCTTCACCCACTGGTACTCCGCTGGAGAACCAGAAGGAGGAAGAGAGATTGGCAAATTCTGTGTTCACGCCTAACGTCCTAAACTGGTGTATGAGGGCACTCTAATTCTTCACCATGAGCAAGCCATAGGCACCAGCAGAACCGACAACATTCACTGTTGCAACTTCTCATTTTCAGCTCACAATAACACACTGCTTCAATTACGTCATCAAACAGACAGTTGTCATGAATCAGGATCTATATTGCAACACTAAATCTTGTCATCAGGCTGACAGTTTGAGTAATTTTATTCTGTGGTAAGATGAGGCTTCAACTTGCTTAGGAATACTTCAATGAAGGTGATGCGTCTGTTCGTGTAGGAAGGTCTGATAGTATTTATATCCAGACAAATACACACACACGCACACACACAATATGACTCACTATGACACTGTGTTTTCAGATTCAAGATTAGTTCCTACACTTTCTGTAATTGTGGAAATCCAGGTTTGTCATCATCTGTCTTCAGTCTTATACAAGAAATCTGAAAATAATGAATTGTTGTAGAGCAGGTGAGCCCAAACTTTTAGTTATCAGTGGGCTACAGGCCAAAAGCAAACACCTGTTGTTAAGTACTAAGATATAGACAGTATATTGCATAGTGGATGGAGCTTCAAGCTCTGTAAAGTTAGGCCAATGCGTAAGTATGTTAAACCTACATTCTTTCTAATGGCCACCAGGGGGTGACTCCATTGGTAGCAAAAAAGAAGCTTGTTTGCATGTAACCTTCCACTTGATTTATTAACTCAGTAAACAGTTTATGGTCTCAATCTCTAGTTTCAGTCTTCTTCCATATAGCATGATGTTCATTTAATTTTAGTTTAGTTAGTTTGGTCCCATTTAGAGTAAAATAGACCATAAATTCAGGTATGCTTTAGGGTGTGACCTTGTGATTGACACACAGTGCTGGTCAAATATGAATCAAGATTATGTTTCTGCATTGACTATTTCTCACCTCAAATCTTTTCACAAACATATTTTTGTGTACTGTTCTGTTCTGTTATCTGGAATACGAGATTGCGTGCCACCAGTCGAACCACCATTGTTTCCTGTTACGGATGAGCCAAAACCAGGCGCAGCCAGTGAGAGCAGCTCAACTTGCAGTTTGTCACTGCTGCTGACTGCAAATAATAACGCCAAACTCGATCTTCTAAACGGTACGCCACAAATCAATGGGGGACATCACGATAGGTTCACACCATGTTTCCTTAAATTACTGATTTACTGTGCCACTCTAACCCGCCATGCACAGATTATGAAACATAATTATTTCATTGCGACTTTAAAGAGCATTTTACCTCAAAAAGCAAACAGCAAAACCCTGATATATATTATGCATCTTTCAATTTTTATTTTTTAATTTAAAAATTGTTTTCACTGGAAACATCTGGCAGACCAAATCAAATCTTTGGGCAGGCTAACTTTGGCCCACGGCCCCATTTCAGACAGCTGTCTGAAGAAGCTGAAGCTGTCTATAGAGTAAAGAAGTAGCTATTTTTTTGACTTTCTATGTAAAAGTTGCAGTTCTACTCTTAACTGAGTAGGTTTTTTGGTAGCCAACTTTCGGAAAGACGAGGGAATGTCTGTTTTGGCAAAATCAGGAGGTGAGTGCACTGAATCTCTTCTGTATCTTCAGTCGGTCACTCGAGGGGCCTTGCCAATGTGGGCCTTTAAAGTTCATTGAGAAATTGGGGTCCACAAGTAAACATGACTTCACTTTAGTTTTCAGCTTTGTTTTAGTAACAAACAGATATGTGACAGTGTAATCTGAAAATTGACAAGAAGTGAGGGAGTGCAAGGAGTGGCCTGAAGAGTTCCCATTTCTTTACAGTTAACCGTCCAGTTGCTGGATTCTGAATGAGCTGGAAGCCTGCCAGGGACTTTTTCCCAATTCCAGATTATAAAACACTAACGTAGAATGTGGTAAATGCATGAATAATTCTCTCTAGGGGTTTACCAGATAGGATTTTTTTTATCTTGTTCATCCTGGACCAGACTTATTGCTGTAACAGGATGAATAAGATAAAAACATTCAGATAAGATACAGATAACTATAGGTCAGCTAATAATTAGTAAAAATAGGATTTCATTTGTTAGAATTCTGGTCTCGTCTGATATGACTGATGGCTGAACAAGACAGTACTGTTGGCTCTGGAGCTCTAAGCTGCCACACCAGCATATGATGAGTAATGAGTTATTGATGCTGAGCATTAAGCAAAAGGAGCAAATTGTGCTAAATATGTGGCAAACTGCCAGTGTAAATAAATGTCAATCTATTCTTATTACATAATACTGATTTACATTGCAAAAGGGATATGAATATGCAAATGTTGTTGATTTCTAAAGTTTTCCTGCTGGACACAAGATGTCTCCTACTTCACTGTAAAGTCCATTCACACCGGCTTTATAATGACATCATCTGCAACATCTTTCGTGTGTCTTCAAATTCCACTGAGAGTGTTTCAGAAGCAAAGCGTCTTCAGAGCGTGTTGCCTGCCATATGTTGTTTACTTGTGTATTTCGTTCTTAAAAATGATACAAAACGGTGTGTTTCTCAGCCTAAAATCTCCTCCAACCTGCCTCTGACTGATTGACTTCTGGCCTGGTGCCACAATGTTGATGTAGTGTGAAATTCGGTCCAGAGTCTGCACACGGTATTTTTTGTTGTTGAAAATTTACCTGATTTTCTGTACCGTTTCTGTGTCTGACTTCCTGCCAGTGCAATCTGCTCTGTGCTGCTTGACATGAGTGGGTCGCGGCTTCCGTCAAAAAATGACCAGCCATCTATTCTACGTGGAGCAGAGCTTCTGTGATGCACCGCTTCTGGTGGAATTTAGAGCACTGGAATTTGGGGATTAGTTGCATACTGGACCAGGACTGACCTCCAAACTATTTTTGATGTCACAAATCCTGCTGGTAGGCCCCGCCCCTTAAAATCAGATTTTCAATGAGCTCAGAGAAACTTTGCACTTTCAGCAGATGAATGTGAAAACATCCTTCTAGTGTCAAACTCTGCACAGACAGCATTCAGACAGCACGCTGTAGGAACAAGAACAAACACTGATTATGACTGGAGGGGGGCTTTAAAAAGATGAATTCCTCGTTTCATTTATGTGAAATTAAATTTTCTTTATTAAAATAATCATTTTCAATTCATGAATCAAAACTCTGGTTTCAAACTAATACTAAAAAGGTTTCTCGCAACATTCTAGTTTTTTTGTTATGAAGTTTGACCTAATAATCTTTATTCAGTGTTCATAGGCGTGTAAGGTGATAACTGAACGGTTTGTTTCTCACAATTTTTTCTCGACTACATCCCTGTTGTGCTGAACACCCAGCCTGTGTGTGTGTGTGTGTGTGTGTGTGTGTGTGTCACCGGGGGTGTGGACGCGCAGAAGGGGTGGATCACGTGTTACTGACTCTCAGTAGAGAGCCTCTGGAGCCATAAAGGGCCGCTCTTTACCTGTGCACTCAGGTCGATCCGGTTGCCAGTCTGGTTTCAGTCTTTTCAGTCTGCCTTCCTGAGCACCGGAGGATCCCTCTGATTGGCTGCAGAAGGAAACGAGCTCTCTCAGCCCACCCACCGCTGATTATAGCTTGGGACTCTTTGCTGTCTCAGTTTCCTTCCTTGCATTGAGTCTGGGACCTGGCCCCGGGGCTGAACGGCACACACAGAGCGCGCATCATGGCAGCTACGCACAGCGAGTACAGAGGCTACCTGCGAAACACCGTCGACATGGAGGCAGGGCAGCACCGCTTCCAACCGGTGCAGAGCTCGGAGCCCACTCACCGGCCGCTCCTATTCGGGACCCTCGCTGTTATGGGATTGCTTCAGGTGGCCTCCAGCGTGGCGATCTTCTTACACCTGACAGGTTATCTGCAAGAGGTAGGCTCGATGTGATTTGGTTCTGTGCGCAATGGCACACCACAAAGTCACTCACTGCCGTCAGCGTGGAGCGTATGTAGCTTTGGTTGTGTGTGTGTAAATATTTATCTACAAATGCCGCCAACAGTTCTTTACAAGGATACAAGCGAGTTAAGCTAGACCTACAACATTTACGCAATTTTATAATGCCATAAAACACGAGATAAGTTCTGCAGCTCGGTATAATGTTGGCGGCGTCTGCTCTTAGAAGTAAAGTAGGTGAAAAAGAAAGCCTCAACAACATCCAGCCAGTTTGCACTTTTGTGCGCCAAGGTTTCGTGCACTCTTGGCGTCTCTTTGATGGCGCTGCGCTTTGGCGGCAGGCAGTTAAAACATTTCTTCCCCTCGCTGTAAAAACAGCACGACTGATAGATAGCATCTTAGAAAAGCCCTGATTAGTTAGTTCAGCTCGATTCAAAGCGCTGTGAATCCGTTCTGAGGCGATAACATCTCCCGGTAGAGGCTGCAGATACATGTCAGCTTTGCGAGATGTCTTGTTTGCAAAATACAGATGTTTTCACTTGAGGCTCTCGGGCTGCAGTTTCTCTTGTGCATGTTTACATGCCATTTGGGGGTTATATTTGTAATTTATCTGTGTCAGAAGTTGTAAACTTTTGAGCAGAAGCAGAGCTGTTTTTCAAGGAGTTAGGAGGCAGAAAAGTCTGGAAAAGTTCAAGGAAGAACTGGATGTCTGAGTCAGGGATGATATCAAAACCTCCCTACACAGGCTATTACTTTTTGTCAGGTCATCTTTGCCATCTTGTCTGTGATCTTGTAGAATAACATTTATATTCTGCCACAACTGTTTTTGTAACTGTATGGCGGTTTTGGAGTTGAATAATTGTCATGTTTCAACAAGCCAAGCGAGCAGACCGCATCCCGACTCTGTCAGGATGCTGGAAGTTCACCTGGGGAGCATCTGTCTCTTTCTTTCTTTTTCTCTTTGCCTCTGTCTCTTTTCTCAGTGTTTGTGTGTTAAATTTCTTTGGCTTGTCTTTGGCATAAACACATTGCAGTGTGGTAGTAGCTAGTTATGTCCTGGATGTGAGCCAAAGGGAAAAAGTAAATAAAAGGGAGGGAGGCAAAGGAGTGAAAAACCCCAGAAAGAAGAGCGGCCAGCCAAAAAGAGACACACAGTGTTTCACTTCATGGCTGTTATCTTGTTTGTGTAATAACACTTGTGTGTGGGATTAATCTGATTATGTGATGAGAGGGACACGGGTACAGATCTGTTGGAGTTATTCTGGAATACAGAGCAGCATGAGATACCCTCTGGTTGGTCAGAGGTTGAGTTTTGGATTAACACGCAGCCCTTTTTTCCGAGTTCGATGACAGCTGCATCTGGTAGCACTTTAAGCATGAGTCAGGAGTTGTGTGCTAACTGGAGTTTGGCACCGGACCCTCATCTGCCCTCAACACCTGTAGAACTTCCTGGAGATGGAGAGGAGAGCTGGAATCTGCACAGCGCCATGACTACATAGGAATGTGCTGATCTGGGGAGGATTAAAAATGCTGCTCTGATTCGAACATGAGGGCTAAAGTGTGGTTTTTTAATAGTTTTTTAGTCTCTGTGAATCTGGCTGTGTGTGTACATGGAAGCCGTGTGGCCATTTTACAGTATGCAACATACATAAAAGTATTCCGAGACAACAGCTCTGCAAATGAGAACCAGTTCTGAGTCCCTATATCACTTTGACTTTTCGCCTGCTGCCGTGGAATGCACAGTGACATGCGGAAAATAACTTAACCTCCCACTTCAACCCACACACATGCACGCAATGTCTGGTGAATGTGAATTAGAAGGACTTTAGCAGAAAACTTGGATTTGAGCTCTCCACGCCTATAGAAACACTTCTACAGTGGTAGAATTAGCAGGACAATGGTTAGGAACCTGCTATTTCAAAATGTCCTCCTTGTGTTCACGTGCAATCCTATGAAATATCTGCTTGGATCACAAACATGACAAACATCCAAAAGGAATTATTCCTCCCACACACACCTGGGAAGGGAAACATTCTCATGACAAATAGTGCTTATCCCAGATTGCATAATAATGGTGTTTTTCACACTGACCTTTAACCTCAGCTCCTATGTTTCTGTCTCCAGGTAGATTTGTCCAGAGCCCCACATCGGCCCATAGAGGTGAGTTTGAACACAGCAGCACGGACCAGTCAGAGAAGTTGCATTTTAACAGATTTGCATCCTACAAGATTTTGTTATTAATTATTAATCAGGACTGATTGCCTTTATTGCAATTTTTACTTTAACAAACTTAATATCAGTAGGGACTGATTTGCTCGGATCAGTCTTCAATGCATCACTACAGGGGAAACTAAAGGGAAAGCCAAAACATTTCTCAGATACAACAGTAATCTGTGTTAAGAATGTTTTGAAGCATACCTGGAGTTTCCTCATGTCACATGTTATTTTTTTGGCTTTTTTGCCTTTATTTGATAGATACAGCTGAAGATAGATAGGAAAGGGGAGTAGAGAGGAGGGGATGACACGCAGCAAAGGGCCGCAGGTCGGATTTGGACCCTGGGCCGCTGCAACAAGGACTCAGCCTCCGTACATGGGTCGCCAGCTCTACCCACTGAGCTAACCGGGCGTCCACATGCAATAATGTGGTTTAAAAGACAAGCGTTAAAGCGGCGTAAAAATAAACAACATAATCATCAGAAATTCTGCACTGACAGTAGTCATGATTTTCCCATGGGTGTGTTTTCAGTACATACCACAGCTTCTGTAAAGCAAGCACCAAACTGTAGGTGGTCACACAGGCTGAGGAGAGGTCAGACCACAGCAGGATAAACACCTTTCTACCTTTTTGTATGGGGGTCAAATCATTTAGGATTTTTTCCCAAGTTTAATAAGCCACTTACTGACACTGTGCACAGATAGTAGTTTACTGCATCAACTATGAGTCACTCATTGGCGTCAGTGGTTGCAGAGTATTCCTTCAATGATCAGCAGTAGCATGAGGGAGTTATAAAGTAGGAATTCTTAATTGCTGAAGTCATTTTTTTTTCTAATCCCTTTTTGGAAGTCGCCGCCCGTTTTCTTGGCCTAGGTTTCACAGAGCAAAAGCAAAAACCATCCAGGAAGTAAAACAACACAGAATAAAAGCACCGCTTTGCTTCACTAGTGTTTGGTTTCCCATAATGCTCTAATTTCCTTTGAAATTATGTATTAGTGTTTACCCTGGGTATCCCTGGTGGAGTACTTACACAAACCACCCAGCCTGTCTTGGACTGAGGAGCTCATTGTGTCGTTAGCCCTCGGCTGTTTCCCATGGAGCGCAGGGAGACGTGCTGGGAGCTTTATGAGGTGTCAGGGTGACAGGTCCACTTGGCCCACGCTGTGTTGTGTTAGGGTCGGCCCTGAGACCGCCGGTGCTCTCCGCTGACAGTTCAGAGGATTTGCAATAGAGCAGGCCTCAGTGGACAGCTGTCAGTTGTGCAGCTCAGCATTGATGTGAGGCAGGATGTGCAGGCCAGGCCTACACCGGGCTGGGGCTGTGGTCAGTGCGATCTCGGGAGTGGTGAGAACAAGGACCATGAATCAGACACGGCTCATGATCCGAATGTTTACAGTCTGTGGAGAGCTGTATAACTGAGTAAGAAGGAGGTCTGACTGATGCAGTATGAAACACAAAGAGACAATCTGCTTCGGTGGTCAAGCTTTGAGTGAAAGGACTTTTGTTCTTGTGTAGCATCTTAGAAACCGCTCATCAACATAATAGGGACGGTGAATGATGCATGTGGTGCGTAGTTAAAGGGCTGAACTGAAGCCTGCGTGCTCTGTGGTATTCCAGGACCACGCATGTGAAACCAAGACAGCAGTAGCTGGATGTGTACCTCAATGCAGACATTTCTCCTTCATGCAGGAGCTCCATCCAGTGCAAAGCGATTGCCACCATGCCACTTAAATTCTACATCACACTGTAGATCAGGAAGCTGGCAAGCTGCTGCTACTTTGTCTAAATAATCTCTTCTCCCTGGTTAAAGAGGTATGACGTGGTCTCACCACAAATCAAGATAGATCCCACAATGTAAGGCCAATTGAGAGCGCGTTCACAATTACTTTGTAGCCTTGGCAAGACATTGTTTACCCCTGTCTCATTCCGAGACGCTGCCCCATAAACATGTTTGTGCAGCAAATTGTTTTTGGAGGACAGACAGTGCTAATCTTAGTTTGAGAGCTGTGCAAATTTGTCTGGACTTGGGTTGTGAATAAATACTTCACGGTAATATTAGCACGACGCAGGTGCAGTTGCAAAACTATGTTAATGGTGTTGGAGGGACTGGCTCAATAGTTGAGTTTATTTGGAATGAGTAGAAGTGTTTGTGCTCCAAGGCGCTGTGTGTGGTTTTTAAGTTGGTATGTTTAAAATTTCTATCCATTTCCCCGTGTTTTTCTTTTTTTAGTTGTTGGCTCAGAGTTAGGGTGAGACGATACTGCCAGGATACCTGAGATTACTGGATCAGAGGAAATTACTCTGAAACCATAAAACAAGTTAAAACAGCTTTAGGATATAATAAAAACTCCAGTTCTTTTACATTTGTACTTTAGCACATTTGTATCTGTTATACATATATATACATGCATAGCCTAATATAGACCCATATACTAATTTCATTTAAAGTTGCAAACAAGTTCCAAGTAACTAACTAAGTGGTATACTTATACTAATACTTTTACATATATAAAATGTAATTTCACTTGTCCCTTAGATCTCCTGTGTGAGTCTAAGATAGTAGGTAGAGGCAGAAAACAAAACACTCACGCCTGATGTTTTATTCTCCTGCCAGATGTGTAAGAGAGTTGGCAGCTCTGGTGAAGTAACTGTTTACTTGCTTGGAAACCATGTTTTCCTTGAGTGTATATGCTCCGTCTTGCCTGAGGATGACAGCCCTGCTAAGACTGGATGGCGGCGTCATTGGCCTTGAATAGAATCAGCACTAGGGGCTGAACACAGTCCAGATACTTTTTGTGCCAAATCCTTGAGAAACGCAATCTGTCTGAAAGGTTACACTCACCAGGAGGCCTCCCTGTCACAGCCACCAGACCCAAGTACGACCACTGCTGTAATAAGAAGTTAGCAAGCTACCCATAGAGGATGGAAATTACACTCAGACATGCAGTCCATGTATGCTCATCCACTTACTGTCCTCAGTGACACACGCACACAATTCCATATAAGCAGGCAGTTATTGAAAAGGACAGCAGAGCAAAGCTGTGGTAAAATATGTCAAACTCCTATTGTTGCTTTAAGAGAAAGCCGTTTGTGTGTTCGGGTTAAGTGTTCATGTCTGTTTACTGATGTGGGTATGAGTTTCAAATTGGGCAATTAAGTGATGACCTTTCATCTGTCAGCCAGTGTTTGTTTAATGCGCTTTTCCTGTTTTCCACAGGAAGTACAGACGGAGCCGGTGCTGAACGCCCTGAGAGACACAAGGAAAAACAGACGCTGTAAAACTCCAAAAGAGAGCCTGCCATCAGCTCATTTACCAATCAAAGTGCATCAAGAGTACTCTAAGAGTGAGTCCAGATGAATTAAAACCCTATTATTAGGGCCCAAGCACTGACCAGTGCAAGGACCTATTGTAATTGTAATCAATTCTGTTATTATTATTTTTTTTCCCCTTTAATCTATATTTTGAACACTCTCCCATGCTCGAAAGCTCACGAAACTTTGCACAAAATTAAAACGTGGCAGAACTCGACGTATCCATTTGTGACCGTGCACGGGCACTGCCAAATGGCTAAGCCCCACCCCTCCGATTCAGCCCCCAAGACGTGTATGGTCAACATGTATGAAAATTGGTATGCATGTGTATCATGCTCAGCCAAGCAAAAAAGCCTCGTGGCGTTGCGTCCAATTTCGACAACTCACCATGAAAAAGGAAGTTGTCATAACTTCAGCGTACGTGATCCGATCTCAACGAAACATCACTCGTCTGATAAGAGTCCCGCCCCGAACAGGTCTAAATGCCAATATTCAGATATAATCATAGCGCCCCCTACTGGCAACAGAACATATCATGTCTTATGTTTTTATATTATAATTTGAGCAAACTTCTCCTAGGGAATTTATCACATCTACTTCAAAATTGGTCAGTACAGTCAAAAAATATTGCTGATTATTAGTTGTGCTATTTGTGACTGTAAGTCGAACAGATTGTCTGTGGCGTCCTGTCAGAGTTGGCCATTTTGAACAAACTAGTGAATTGATCAGAACAAATTTACATTCAACGGTGTGTCCGTGCCTTCAAATATCTGCCTTGACATGACGCTGTAATTTCTGTAATTACACTGTTTGGCGACTTTATGAAATTGGCTTCAAAGCCTGGTACTCTTCCTGTGGGCTTGGAACCAACTGACCAAGCTTACATTAGCTTGCTAACATATGATCCATTAAGTGTGAAAAGTTAAGTAAAAGTGGTAATATAGTCGACATATCTGACTCAAAATGATAAAATGCTTAATAATAATGTAAACTGAGAAGATTATATTTTACAAAAATAACAAAACATACATCAAATTATAAAACATAAATGACCAAATAATTCACTATTATTTCACAATGTAAGCTTATCGGGAAAATTCATGGGGCCACTTTGCATGAGGTGACCGACACCATTGCAGTAATTACTAGACATACGTAACTTGAAGTGATAAAATGCTTAATGATAATGCAAGCAGGGAAGATTATATTTCACAAAAATAACACAACATACCTCAAATGCCACAAAACATACAGCTAGAAGTAATTTCAGTAAGGTTAATCTGATATTTTCCACTCATTGTAAACTGTATCAATACTGACTCTGAATCACATATTTCTCCATGTATGTACTTATAAGCAAACTAAAGTCATAGCTAATTTTTTTTTTTACAAAGGTTTAGCAATTAAGTGTTCTACATAATTTGACCCTCTAAAACTGCAATTTCTGGAAATGATACTACAGCTACTTCCTGTTGATTGTTTAGATTCTCAACAGTGCTACAAATGTTACCTAGCATCTGTGCATTATTTGGTTTTATTGTGGCAACCCGTTTTAGTTTGCTTTACACAGAATCCTCTTTGTTTAGTTTGTTTCTTGATAAACCAAAAAAAATGAATGGATGAATAGATTAACCAAAACCTTTTTTGTTTTGTGCTTGCCATGAAGAGGGTGATGCGAAGGCCATCACCATTGACTGGGAAGAAATGCATGGATACCGCCACAGGATGGGCTACCAGAAGGGGAAACTGCTGGTGATGGAGTCAGGCTTCTACTATGTTTACGCAAAGACCTGTTTCCGTTACTACAAGTACGAGCCAGAGGACAGAAGTCAGGTTCCACCAGTGGATGTTAGCAACACCCAGCTCATCCAGTACGTCTACCATGAGAGCATCAAACAGAACAGCAAGGCTGTAGTGCTGATGAAGTCAGGGAGCACCATGCGCTGGAACAACACGACCTATAACATGTACTGTGCCCAGCAAGGCCGAGGGGTACGGCTGGACGAGGGAGATGCCTTGTTCGTCAATGTGTCCAATGCTTGGATGCTGGATCCCGAGGGAGAAGGGACGTATTTTGGGGCCATAAAGTTGGGTAACTGAAATTTAAACACATGGGGAGCGGACATGCTACTGAACATTTGATATGCCAAAGAACCACTGTTAGTGATTTATATTGTTGATTTGTCAAAAAAGTTTGTTTTTATTGTACATGCCTTGTTGTTTTTGTGTTTTTTTTAAAGTTGTTCTTCACGTTGGAGTCCCTTATGCGACAAACTAATGGTAGGTAGTCTCCTTGCCTCTTAGCCCTCCCCGAAAAAAAGAGACACACAGCACTGGACTGTATTTTTTTTTTTTTACTTTTTTGAAGTATTGCGGTTTGTATTGGGAAATTTCAATACATTTCAGTTCAGATTACAACATTAAACTTCAACATAGACATGTGTTTAGGCACTAATTAAACAAATCCCAAGGAAGTAAGTTTGTTGGAAAGAAACACAGTGAGAAAGGATTGATCAATGTTGATTGTTGGAAAAGAATGTAAAAAGAAGAACATTGTAGCTGATAGAGCATCTGCTTGTACTCTGCAGATTATCACAGAATAAAAATAACAAAACTCCCCGGTCTGTCTCTGACCCCCTGCAGTGAATGCACAAATGTTTTCCTGAAAGGTTTTGTAAGCGTGAACAAGGCGAGCAATGAGGCATACTCACAGTAAGTATTGTTTGAAACAGGCAGTTAGGCGGTGATTTAAATATCACCCTCAAAATCTCTAAGGCACTATCGAAACGTAATGCCATGAAAAATTCACTTAGACTCTGATATTGTGTTTTTTAAGCAACAAAAACATTTTTAAAAGGTTGTGTGTGCTTATCCAATTTTCTGCCTTACTGAAATCTAATGAGTGGCCTTGCTTCTTGGAGGGCGACAATTACGTGACAATGTCATTTGAAACAATGTCCTTTTAAGGAGCAAATTACATCCATTTGTTATGTTAATGTCAATCAACAAGTGATGCAGATAGCTGGACTGTCTGACCATAAATGACACAAATAGACTCTTGTCTTCTTTAACTAGAGGAGCCAAATTGAGTTTGGTTCATCTTTAACTTAAATTTTGTTTTTCATTTGGCTCTTCAGTGAGGTAAATGGGAATATGCACTAAATATTTATTTATTAGCTATAGAAGTACAGAGACAGGTCATTGTTAAAGTGACCTCTCAGCTGTAAAAATCATTTATATTTTATGTCTGTATGACATTCATTACGCAGCACTTAATAAATAGTAGGAAATAGTAGACATGCTTTTTGTTATTAAAACACAGGGGCTTCACTTTAAATTCCATATTTATGTATCTTGATTTTGACAATTCTGTGTGCACTTGCTTAGCCAAAAGCAATATGGATATATTGTTTCTTCTACAAGATTGTAGCATACCTGTAAGATCTTCATCTGATTCGATAGATTTTTTTTTTTCCATTCAGTGTTCTTTTTATTTATGTATGTGTATGTTTTAATAAAAAAAACTACTTTTGTAACAGTGTTTCATGTGTATTGACCTTACCCAATCAGGCTGGTGTTGCTGATTCAGGATTAGGTCGCAGCCACCTTTGCACCGTAACTTGATGAATGGGCCACCCGGACTGCAATATTATTGTGATGTGCAATTTGATAATCTTTGCAATCTCTGGAAAATTCAACACTGCTATGGCCAAAGAGCGAAGTCACGCTGTTCCTTTACCCCGCTGCAACCCCGGTCAGTGTGGCCCACCAGCTCATTACAGAGATAGGTTGTATAGAAAAACCGCCCACTGCTGTTGCAGCACTGCTAACTCACAGCAGACGTTTGGACCACAGCACAGAGCAACCTGCAGAATAAACAAGAAACAGACTGCATGGGATGGGAATAATGACGAGAATTTCATTACTCTACTGTAATGTGTGTTAGCCGTTTTGATCATTGTGGTGATGGGTCTCCCATGAAGCCCTGCGGCATGTGAAGAGAGTTTTAATTTCGGACCCGAAGCCAAACAATTCCTTTATTGTCTGTACTTGGGCGTTCACCAGCATATGGCCAGAGAATGGTTCACACATTTGTGCTGTATGCTGAGACCTCACACGGCTTTCAGCTCATTGTTACTGAGAGTTTGAAATAAAATCCGGGATTTGAGGAGAAATGCTTGGCTAAGGTGATTAGTTTTTGCCATAGTGTAAAGCACCGACCGTAAAAATTTAATATTTAAGTGGCCTTGATGAAAAGAGTGATACGTTCTTAAGGGAAATCCTTCACTTCTGCCTAAAAAAAATATTTTTTGGAGAACTATTTTATGCAAATAACAAACAATACTTGCAGAGTTTTGCAACAACAAAACAGTTGAGCTGTGGTGTCCATAGGGCTACTCTGTTTCAGATTTAAATAGAAGCCATGAGTGTAAACAATAGACTTCCGTAGTGTGCCACCCTTTTGAAGTGACTTGATTTCTCAATTCCTGGCGCTGAACAGAAACCATTAAAATGTGTTGTGTCAGTAAACATTATGGAAAGTTTGGCGTCCACTGGACCCCCACCCTGAACACATACACACACACATACTCCCACTCAACACATATACTCACTTCCATACACAAACACACACACACACACACACACACAGAGACAAAGAAGTTTCACATGCTTGCTGCACTCAGTGGTTCGTAAAATAGGCCCGTTTGGCAGAAGTGGAGAACTTACCGGCTTATTTTATTACTTACATATGTTAAAACACAAAGGGGCTATGGCAATGAAAATCAATGGCCCAATCCATGTCAAAGTAAAAAGGTACAGATTTTAACTCACACAACAGGACATAAAAAGGACTGCTGACTTGTACTTTCACTCCTTAGGCAGGGGTGGATCTAGAGAAATATTCACGTGGGGGTGGGGGTGGGGGGGCATGGTAAATGGACCTATACTTGTATAGCGCCTTTCTAGTCTTCCGACCACTCGGTGCTTTTACACTATATGCCACATTCACTGTTTCACACACTCACACACATTCACTCAGTGATGGCAAACTCCATCAAACACAAACGCATTCATACACATTCACACACTGATGGACAGCATCGGGAGCAATTTGGGGTTCAGTATCTTGCTTAAGGATACTTCGACATGTGGCGGCAGGAACCGGGATCGAATAAACAACCTTACGATTAGGGGACGACAGCCATGGAAATGCATGTCATTTCCCCTCTTTCTCATCCCCTTTTCCTATCTATCCCTACCTGTCCTATTAAAAATAAAGACATAAAAAGCCCCAAAAATTAGGTTTTTTTCCCTAATCTCCTATCCTAATGTATTTTCCAAATACATGTTTTTTAAGTCAAAGTCAGTTTTATTTGTATGGCACCAAATCATAACAAAAAAAGTTAATGTATATATATAGATAGATAGATAGATAGATAGATAGATAGATAGATAGATAGATAGATAGATAGATAGATAGATAGATAGATAGATACATATCCATTAAACTTGATACTAAGCCGTATCAGTTTAAAATGTGTCCACGACACTAACATTTAATCTTGATTACTGTGTTAAATATAACTGCATTTGACACCAAACTTGCATTTTTTAGCCCCATGCCCCCATCTAGATCGCCCATGCCTACAGATCTTCAGATATTCCATGACGGTCCGTTATGGACGAGCTCCAGTGGAACATATGTGAGACTTTATTCATGTCTTCTATGGTTTTATGATGCACCTCTGTCAGACATTATTTCAGAGTCGTCTCACTGTGGCTCGGCTTAGAGGTGGAGCTGTTGATTCAGAAAAACAAAGTCATGTGTTGGAAAATGTATCAGGGTGTTTTCCCCAAATAAGCAGCACCAGAGGCATCAATATAGAAGTTAATGCCATTAGCTAACTATGGGTGCTTGGCTTTATGAGACTTTGTGGTTTGCAGGAAATGGAGCTCTGAGAAGTCAGTTTTACCGAACAGCTGGAGGGCTTTGTTATGTGCAGTCAGGTTTTACACGCGTACACACATTTAAATATCCACGCACTTGCACACTTGAACTATCAGTGTATAAATTTGTGCCCACACACGTCAACAAACACACACACATAGGCACAACCAACCAACACACACTCTGCTGAGTCAGCACGGCCAGCTATTTTCACAAGCTGGGCCCTCGCCCTTTGTCTTCACCCCAATATAGCTCAGATGTCTCTGGCTTTTGATGTCAGACATTTTTACCACTTGGCTAATGCTAACATTAGTATTATTAAAACAATAACAGAGTGAGATTTACAGGCTATGCTGCAGACGCATGGGCGTGAGATAGCCGGAGGGTTATTACCGTAACCGGGCCCTGTCATCTCCTGCATGAGCTGTCGGCAAAGAGTGTGTGTGCCAGATTGTCTGTGTGGAAATGTGTAGGTTGTCAGCCATCCAGAGGCATTCAATTAAAGGACACACCCATTAGTAAATTAATAAGTCGTCTAGAGGGCATCCTAATGGGTCAGCTGGTGCAGGCGCACACCACAATTAAGATCCATCTCTGTCTTTTATCTCTTCCATCTTTTGTTTGTGTTCCCTCTATCAAATCAATATAAAGACTGGGGTTCAATACTTATCCCACTTTGAATATTCTAGTGACCCTTCTGACCTTAGAGTGAGAGAACTAAATTCTAAAATTGGACCTTCAATGCCTTAAAAGGTGATTCCTTTGAGCCCCCCTCCAGTCATAATCGTACCTATTCCTACAGTGTGCTGTTTGAATGCTGTCTGTACAGAGTTTGACACTAGAAGGATGTTTTCACATTCATCTGCTGAAAGTGGAAAGTTTCTCTGTGCTCATTGAAAATCTGATTTTAAGGGGCGGGGCCTACCAGCAGGATTTGTGGCATTACAAATAGTCTGGAAGTCAATCCTGGAAAAATGGAAATTGTGTGATAAAATTGAAAGCTAAAGAACAAATATTAAACAGACCTTGCACAATTGTGTTAACCTTATAAAAAGTAATCACAATCCTTCTCTGATTTTATGACAATTTTGAATGTGGCATGTTCTTTCATGAAGAACTCTTACTAATATATCTAAAAATGGCATTAGACGGATTAAGAACGGACTATTTTCAACCATTCCAGTGTGCTTACATTTTTGTTGGGGTTATGTGGACTGGAACAAGAATGTTACCACCACTGAGGTGCCCCTGAGCAAGGAACTTAACCTCCAACTGCTCCAGTGGAGCTGTTCAGTGGCCAACAGATCAGACTGTGGTTATACTTGGCAGCTTCCAGCTGTGAATGTGTGCAACTGTGCCTATAGTATGTGTGTTTGTGGCTGTTTGGACAGTCCAGATAATGAGTGTCTTCATATTAGCTAACATTTATCAATCCTAAGCACAGACAAAGGCATATCATTATGTTGCTTTTCATGAACTAACTCCTCATTATGTTAAGAAATACCCAGTAGTCAGTTGCTGGCACACTACACAAGCCAGCACGTCAGCTGAGTCTAACAAGCACTGAGCCAACAGCTGGCCATCAGTGCTGAAACCAAAGAGAAATATGTCTCAATCTTAGCTCTGATTTCAGGAAGATTTAGGAATATTTGAAGGAAATCCATGCTAACAATACCATAACTTTATTAATAATTGTGATACTAGCAACCAACTGCTAACTCCTGCCTCACCCTCCCGTTCCAAGCATGTAGGAGAAACTACACTGAACAAAATTATAAACGCAGCACTTTTGTTTTTGCCCCCATTCATCATGAGCTGAACTCAAAGATCTAAGACTTTCTCTATGTACACAAAAGGCCTACTTCTCTTAAATATTGTTCACAAATCTGTCAAAATCTGTGTTAGTGAGCACTTCTCCTTTGCCCAGATAATCCATCCACCTCACAGGTGTGGCATATCAAGATGCTGATCAGACAGCATGGGTATTGCACAGGTGTGCCTTAGGCTGGCCACAATAAAAGGCCACTGCCGGGGGGGTCCGGAAACCAGTCAGTATCTGGTGTGACCACCATTTGCCTCACGCAGTGCAATACATCTCCTTCGCGTAAAGTTGATCAGGTTGTTGGTTGTGGCCTGTGGAATGTTGGTCCACTCCTCTTCAATGGCTGTGCGAAGTTGCTGGATATTGGCAGGACCTGGAACACGCTGTCGTATACATCGATCCAGAGCATCCCAAACATGCTCAATGGGTGACATGTCCGGTGAGTATGCTGGCCATGCAAGAACTGGGATGTTTTCAGCTTCCAGGAATTGTGTACAGATCCTTGCAACATGGGGCCCTACATTATCATGCTGCAACATGAGGTGATGGTCGTGGATGAATGGCGCGACAGTGGTCCTCAGGATCTCGTCACAGTGTCTCTGTGAATTCAAAATGCCATCAATAAAATGCACCTGTGTTCGTTGTCCATAACACATGCCTGCCCATACCATAACCCCACCACCACCATGGGCCACTCGATCCACAACGTTGACATCAGCAAACCGCTCACCCACACGACACCATACATGCTGTCTGCCATCTGC